AGCCTGAATCCAATCAAGCTTCTACATCTATCAGTTTGCCCAGTTTGTCCAGTAAATCAACGACATGGGGTGGGGGAGGAGTGTGGACTATAATAGAATAAAAGAGACTTAGGAGAAAATCAATTAAATGCGCCCAGGTTGTGTGGCTCACTGGTTGAGCGTCGACCCATGCACCAAGAGGTCACCGGTTTGATTCCTGGTCAGGGCACATGCCCAGGTTGTGGGCCAAATCCCCGGTTGGGAGCATGCAGGAGGCAGCCAATCCATGTTCTCTCTCATTGATGTTTCTATCTCTCCCTCCTTCTCCCTTCCTCTCTCTCTAAAATCAATAAAAAAAAATTAAATGAAAGATATGGACACTGTTTAGATCCTGATTCAAATAAACAGCCCATAAAAAAGCACCTGTCAGATGAGATTATTACTGTTAACTTCGTTATGTGGAAGGGAATGGGAGTTTCTTACTGTTTGAAGTTTACCAGGGAAATGACATATCTGATATTTTCTTCAAAATACTGCAGGGAAAAAAATGTATAGAAGAAACAGGATTGGCAAAATGTTAGTTATTGAAGTTAGGTTACAGGAGTTCACTACATTCTTCTCTATTTTTATATGTAGTTAAGATTTACATAAAAAATTTTAAAGAAGCAATGAATAAAAAGCAAAGAAATGAGTAAATGTAAGAATTGAATGTAAAAGTGAATCACTAAATCTCATGTACAGAAGATTCCTAAATAATTTATATAGCTACTCTGCCCTCAAAGAGGTAGAATGTGTGGGTGCCCTTAAGTGTGGGTGCTCACAGGAACTTCCTTCTTAAAAGTACAGAATGGAGCCCTGGCCGGTTTGGCTCAGCAGTTAGAGCGTCGGCCTGCGGTCCGGAGAGACCCGGGTTTGGTTCCCGCTAAGGGCACGTACCTCGGTTGCAGTTTGTCCCCGGCCCTGGTTGGGTCGTGCGGGTGGCAGCCACTCGATGTGATCCTTTCATGTCGATGTTACTCTCTCTCTCTCTCTGTTCCTCTCTCTCCCTCCCACTCTACCTGAACAAAAAATGGAAAAATGTCCTCGGGTGAGGATAAAAAAAAAAAAAAAAAGTACAGAATGGAGAAGGAGGAAAGAAGAGGAACGTTACAGTGCATAAACCTAATGAACACGACTTCACCAGTTCGATCAAGTTCAACGTCTTCAGTAACCAAGCACGCTGACAGCATGTGCCCTTTACATGGTATATGAAAATGGCACTTCACCTCTGTAATCTTCACACACAGAATCTATACCCCCCGCTTCAACCATGAGAAAAACATCAGAGGACCCCAAATTGAAGGACATTCCACAGAATACTTGACTGGCGTTTCTCAAATCCATCACAGTCCTAAAAAATAAGGAAAATCAAAGAAACGATCACAGTCTAGAGGAGCCTAAAGGGGCATGATGGGATTGTGGGACAGAAAAGAGATGTTAGGCAAAGACCAAGTAAATCCAAATAAATAGGGACTGGAATTTACAAGGATGTGTCAATATCAATTTATCATTTGTGATAAATGGACCAAAATAATGTTATCAATAGGGGAAATTGGGTAGGAGGTTTGCAGAAACTCTTTATGATATTCTAGTAGGTTTTCTGTGAAACTAAAACGTCTAAAGTAAAAAGTATACTAAAAATATTAATAACTTCTGAAGTAAAAAAATACAAATTAAAGTTATTCAATAATAGCAATACTGACTCCAGGTCACTTCAATCAAAACCACCGGGGGTGGAAATCAGGCATAGTTACTTTTTTTAGATGAAAAAAGCACTTTATTAATTACTTTACTATATAACATATTAGTGAATATACCTAGTTGCAGGAATAGCTAAAATTTTTTTTTTATCCTCATCAAGGACATTTTTGCATTTATCTTCAGATGGGGGGGGGGAGAAACATCAATGTGAGAGAGACACATCGAGTGGCTGCCACCCACACGACCCCCACCTAGAGCAGGGACAAACTGCAACTGAGGTACGTGCCCTTAGCGGGAACCAAACCCAGGACTCTGTGGTCTGCAGGCCGATGCTCTAACCACTGAGCAACTTACCAGAGCGGAATAGTTAATTTTTAAAATGACTGCAAAAAAAGAGAGGCAGAGACAGAGAGCGGCACTCCCGGACAGAGGAGATACACAGTTATGGACTCCACTGTATTCCTCCCAAACTGCAGCTCCAACCCTCAGGGGGAGTGCGCTTGGAGACAGGGCTTTTAGGGAGACAGTTAAGATGACATGAGGTCATAAGCTAACCATTTTGCTCAAGAAGTTAGAAAAAGAACAACAAACATTTAAACAGTGGGAAGGAAATAAAAGAACAAAATTAGCAGTAATTGCAAACAAAGGCTCACTGTAGAGAAAGGGCTGTTAATAAAATGACAACAGTAGTGTAGCTGACAGACAAGCAAACTATAAAAAGAATGCAGAACCCAATCAGGCAGGGAAAAGAAAGAGAAATTGAAGCCAGTCAAGTGGAGAGGGAAATTAGGCATATTTCAGCCAGGAGTGCAGAATTTCATTTTCCCAAATCAAGTGATAAAAGGTGGAAAGAGATTACAATTGAAATTGGTGCACAGGGGACCCGTGAGGTATTTGTTTATATATCTTGCCCCCACCCCACAAAAGGATTTGGCTGGGCCTGCCGGTGGCTGCTGGCCCCTGACATAGACAGGGCCCAGTTCTAAGAAAGGGCTGAGCATGTGCTGGTCTGTGACTCAGGGAGAACTGGCCTAGAACAGAAGTTCTGAGGACCCCGGGAGCTTTTATTGTCATGAGTTTTAGCTATTAATAATGAATGCTATCACATTTAAAACTAGAATTAAAAAAAATACTTGAGTCATTTAAAGATAACAAGAATAAATCTAATACATTGTTTATAAAAAATGCAAAAAAAAATCCAAATTTTCACAAATACTGAAAAGCCTAACTAAGTTCACTGTGGTCTATTTATATAATAGAATTCAATACAGATTTTTATTTTTTACTAAATCTATAGATAACCACATGCTAACAACAAATCTGGGGGTGGGAGGGGGGAACCCTTTTGAATAAAAAAGGCAAGTGGCAAAAGAATAGAAAATGCAATACAATTTATGTCAATTTTTAAGACAGAAGAAGTTAATTGGTAAAGTGGATCTGTGAATGCCAGCCTAAATTTGGACCTATTTCAGTAGGCAGTGAGAGCTCATTATTGAATGAATGAGTCATCAAAAGATTTGAGCAGGAAACCTACACCTCTCCTATCAATACCCCTCTAGCAGGCCCTTAACCTGGGGTCCACATACAGAATTCAGGGGGCTTGCATCCTTGCATGGAGGAAAACATATCTTTATTTTCAGGAAATGGAACATTTCCCTTATGACTGTAGTCAACAAAGCTCAATGGTATTGGAAGGACCTGTGACAGTCATCAATAGTAATCACAGATACTTCATATCACCTTACAGTTATGGCAAATGTCTTTCAATATCCCCACACTCATCCCAGCATTAGATACGCTGCTGGATCTCATTACTTAATCACTTAATAAAGAAACACATACATATTACATTACAAATATGATCTTTAAAACATTTTGAAAATGCACACACACCCACACCCACATCCCCACAGCCTAGCTTGGAACCCTCCTCTCTGAGCTCAGAGGCTCACAGGCCTTGCTCTCCAGCAGAGGACAGGCAGACCCAGGACATGACTGGGGCCTCAGCTCTTTCTTCCCCACCACTGGGAGCCACCAGGAGGAGTGGTCCAACAGAGAAGCCAGGTTGGGCCTCTCGCTGGGATCATTGCGAGGACCCCTGGGGTCACACAGGGGCCAGGAGGCTGCCTGCTGCTGTATCAACAACAGACTCCCGGGCATTGGCATCCCTGCAGCCTCCAATGCTGCACTTTGTCATTTTTCCTCTCTGGCCTCTTCCAAGCAATGCTTGTCTTAATTTCTGACCTCATGGCACCCACATAAAATGGGGAAAAGCATTGCTCAGTAACCAGGGAGAATTGCTTCCCCCTCCCCCCCGCATGGCCAGGACAGCTATGCTAAAATACGGAGTGGGCAAAAGTAGGTGTACAGTTGGGGTACTCGAAACAGTTTATTCTTGTATTATTTATTTATTAATTATTGTATATTTATTTGTATTAGTTGTCTTATTATTATTATTATTTCATATCCTTAGTGATGATTTATCTTTTAGTTAATAATGGCTGGTAGTCCGGCCGGTGTGGCTCAGTGGTTGAGCATCAACCCATGCACCAAGAGGTCCCCGGTTCGATTCCCGGTCAGGACATATATATTCAGGTTGTGGGCCTGATCCCCAGTGGGGGGCATGCAAGAGGCGGCCAATCAATGTTCTCTCTCATCGATGTTTCTATCTCTCTCTCTTCCTCTCTCTCTAAAATCAATAAAGAAAAAAAAAATTAAAAAAAATAATGGGTGGTAATTTAACCTACTGTTACCCGCCCCTGTCTTTGAGAGGGAATGTCTGCATTTATTTGTGCTTTTGGTCCAGGTGACCCAGGGACCAGTCTGCCTCACCCCCAACTTTACAGGTGATGACTGGCTTCCACTTCTCCGAAAGTTGGGGCACTGGGCCCCCTGTGCACCCCTACAGTCTCCTGGCTCTGCTCTGCCCTGCCCCCACAGCCCTTCCACTTAGGCGTGGGGTGAAGGTGGAGGAAACCAGAAGAGCAATAAAAAGGTTCTTGCCCTTGACAGAGGGAAGGGAAGCAGGCAGTGGACACTCCCGCACTTCCCCAGTGTAGGCCCCGCAGGATTAGGCCTCCCATCCCCCCACCCCGCGAAGCCTCGCAAGCCCCACCCCCTGCTACTTGGGGTTAAGGTGATGGAGTGAGCTACAGACGGAAGGTGAAGAGGTGCTCAGCCCTGAACCCAGGGGGGGCGGTCCTCGGCCCCGCTGCCCCGCCCCTCCCCGCCGCCCCGCCTCCCTGGCGCCTCCGCCTCCGCAGAAACCTCCCGCACACGCCACCGGGCTGCCACTGCAGCAGCTCTGGTCGCCTTTCTTGGATCATCCGCTCGCAGGTGAGTACCCAGAACCCCGCTTCCGACTCACTGAGCAAGGAGCGGGAAGCTTCGTGAGGTTGAGAGCTGGGAGGGAAGGAAACGTAATCGGATTCCACAGAGGGCCGGAATGGGGGACGGAGGGACGCGAACCCCAAATCCTCGGCGATGGGGAGGTGATCCCTGCCAAGCCCGGGGAGGTCACGCGTCTTTACCGAGCGCCTCTGCGGGTCTGGGGATGCGCTGGGCGCTTGGATGCCTTTGGCTGCGTGGGGACTGGGGCCTCCCGGATCCTGGGGCGCTGGCGATTGTTTCCAGCCAGGAGCTAAAGATACCCTTCTGGGTCTTGCAAGGACGACCCCAGGCTCCGGGCCACGGCCACCCACGAGCCGTCTTTGCTGGTGTGCTTTGGAGAAAGCCCTGCCTCGGCGCTGAGCGTGTTTTAAATAGAGGCTGGAGCATTTGTTCTGCCCGGGGTGCTACGTACAGGTGGAAAATTTTGCAGGAGAAGATGCTTATTTCTGATTTTCCTTTTTTCCAATTCAAAATTTCAGCAAACCCGCTTTCCCCTTTTCCTTGCATGTGGGGAGGTGACGCAGGAATTTCAGCCCCGGCTTTGGGTCCGTCTCTGAAGTTCTAGGTTCACCCCCTTCCCCTTATCCCCGCGGTGAGCTTTTGATTGGGAGGAAGCGGGTCTGTGTTTTAACAGCGTGCACGGGTTTCGAACTTAAGCCAGGGCCATGGACTCATTGTTATTCCGTGTTCTCTCACCTGCAGCTGGGAGAAACGATGTTCACCGTGCTGACCCGCCAACCTTGTGAGCAAGCAGGTTAGTATCTCAGCAGGCCACCAGCGTGGTTTTCTCAAATCACAGGAGAATCCCAGCTTCAGCTCAGGTTTCTCATCCCAGTCCCCTGCACATGACTGTTTAACCTCTGTAGTTCCATACTCGCTCGCTCACCGCGCTTACACCACAGGCATTCCTCATATAAAAGTAATGCTTTTCATCCACGCTGCACAAAACAAGGACTAACATGCATGTTTCGATTAAATGGTTTTTCCGGTTTGCATAATCCATTAATTTGGCCCTTGTGGTTTCCCTTACCCCACTGTGTGTGTAAGGTTTGCTTTAGAATATTGTTGATTTTGTGATGAACTTGAAAGCACTCGGATCTTTTCTCTGTTTCCATTCAAGCGCGGTGTCTGGCACAGCGCCTACAGCGCCCCCCAACCCCCACCATGGGTCAGCATTGTTCCCACTGATACCTCAGGCAGTGTGCAGAATTCACACACACACACATGCACGCACACACACACATTTCCAAGCTTGTCCTGCCTGCCTCTGGAGCACTTTTTCCAGTTGCTCCTGTGAAAGCCCGGAAGGCTCCGGTAGGCACTTTGTAATTACAGTGTTTGTCCCGCCCTAATGATAGCACAGCTCTAGGCCCTGTTCCCTAAATGAATGAGACCTGGTCTAGTCCATTTTGCTTTGTGATAGAGTTTTCTGCCAGGGCAAGTGTTTGCTTAAGGTAATCACAGCTTTTACCTACAATCTGCTGAGGCACAGAGGACTTGGGAGGCCGGCGTGTGGCTGTGGTCTGGACACTGCGTACATGTCACCCACCTCCCCCCGTGGACAGATGTTCTTTCACTGTGCCCCTGAATTGGGTTTCTTATCTTCCGAAAGGATTTGATTTTAGAATAGTGGGGGCAATTTATACCAATCTTTTTTCTTTTTCTTTGAAAGGGAAATTGTACCTAAGGAGCTGATTTACTTTGATTTCTGGGTTTTCCCCAAAAACACTTTGAAAATTTTCACACATACAGACTAACTAGTTTAATTCGTCCCACAGAACAAGTTTAACCTGGCAGATTATACCTCTGCTATGTCTTGTTAGTGATCTAGGGCCCCTCCAGAGGCTCTGAAGGTCACCTCCATGGTGGTTGGTCCCCCTTCAGTTGTTAATACCAAGGAGTCAGCTATGAGTAACTGTGTGTCATCTTACACACCTGGGACTCATTCTGTGAAATAAATTTCCAAGTCAGATGGTATACCCATTTGCAGTTATTGTCAATAAAGGTTGACACATTGCCTTCCATTGATGCAGTGTCAGGGTTCACTCCCAGTGACAAGGTAGAGGAATTAGGGAGTTAAGTGACCACCTTTGACTTCAGGAAGTGTCTGTGGCAGCATCTGCACAGCAGGGGGCAGAAAGAAACTTCCATTAGCTCACACTGGTTTGTTAAGACCCAAGTAAATATCTGCTTGTAATTATCCAGTGAAGCAACATTAGTTTAAATTTAATAGACATAGCTTATTATGGTACATTATATATTATTATACAGTATGTATATGTATGTAGAATTATATAATGATCTTTATTCAGAGTCTGTATATTTAATCTAAGAATATCCGTGTGTTTTATTTATTTTGTTTCTAAGTGGGTAGATAATAGTTTACATGTTATGATTAAAATACAAATACCAGCGATTACATGACCCCTTTTAGACAGGACATGCAGATTGGGGTCTAGTTAGTCTTTGTGAAGATGTCGGTGAGACCTTGTGCCTTCACTGTGAGTTATTGGGAACCCAACTACTTTAGAAATTTAGACGTGTTATCATTTGCTCTACAAGAAGACACCGCACAGTGAATCATTGATTATGTCTGAAGTACAGTATCAATCTATTTTTATTTGAGATTATTTTTAAGTGAAAATTACCTGCTTTAATAGAAAACCCATATTTTTCTAATGTACATTGAAACAAATGTTATTGTAAATCACCTCAGGGACAACCAGTAATACGCATAACATACTTTGAGAAATACTAGAAAACTAAACTATGCATAACTAAAAACGAATATAATACTGTATAAAACTAATAAATATATAAATATATATAACTAATGCACACACACACACACACACACACACACACATCCTGTATATAAAACTAAATACCAGAAAACTCAAACCATACAAACACGGTTTTAGTCCATTCTGCAGTGGTTCTCAACCTGTGGGTCGTGATCCCTCTGGGGGTCAAACGACCCTTTCACAGGGGTCACCTAAGACATAACAGTAGCAAAATTACAGTTATGAAGTAGCAACAAAAATAATTTCATGGTTGGGGGTCACCACAGCATGAGGAACAGTGTTGAAGGGTCACGGCATTAAGAAGGTCGAGAACCAATGCTCTAGAAGAAAGATAAATGGGTAGTAGAGCCCAGCTGCTTCTCTGCCTTGAAAGTGTGGGTCTCACTAAGCAGAGGAAGTGACTTATGCACACGGTTATGCACACGGTTATGCACCCAGCCCTGCGTTCTACAAAGAAGGCGAGCGTCTGTTCCTCCCGTCCCCTCACGAATCTTCTGGTCTTCCCCTTTTAGGCCTCAAGGCTCTCTCCCGCACCCCAGCCATCATTGCCCTGGTGGTCTTGGTTCTGAGCGTTGTGGTGCTCGTGGCCATCACACTCATCCAGATGCACCAGAAGGAGGTCCTCCTTCCAGGACTGAAGGTAAGTGTGAAGGGATTGGCCCTGAGTGGAGAAATGTGCTGACTCCAGTTTTTCTAAAGCCCTGAGTTAGAGGAGAAGAAAAGCCTTTTCTCCAGCTCCAGCTGGAGCCTGGGAAGATAGCGTGGGCCCCAAGGGAGGAGGTCTGGACATGCCGGCTTTGTGACGTTCGAGGCTACAGTTTGATAGTGGTGGCACCTTCTCCAAGGACTGTGGTTTTGCTTTGACTCCTGACTATGGGGATCAGAGCTAGACTTTGTAGCCAATAAGAAATGGCTACCAAAGGTTTACCAACTTGTTCGTTTCCCCAGAGCACCCAACCCTGACAATGAGTGGAGACCAGGAGACCTGGGCTCCTCTTATGGATGAACCAAAAAATCAAGGATTTGAAAAGATCTCCTTGAACTTTATTTGGGTCTAGAAAGGAGCCATGATTCTCTCTAACTTTTCCTCCCTGAAAAATTACTTAGAACCTTATGCTCAGCTCCAGAGGCCTCTCCCTGCCCTCGAGTCCAACCCCAAACGGCCTCTTCAGTGAGCCGTCCTGCCTGGGTTGTAAGGACGGTGGACGGCGATCCTAGGAGACCATCACATGCAGGGCGGAGTCCTTCCATCATTGCAGGGAGAGGTCGGCAAACTTTCTGCGAGGGCTGAATAGGACATATTTTAGGGCCATTTATAGTATCTGTTACACATATGTTTGTTTTTGTTTTTTGTCTTCTTGACTCTTTAAAAATGTAAAAAGCCTTCTTAGCTGGAGAGACATAGGGGCCAAGTTCAACTATGTTATTTGAATTTCATTTATTTATTGATTTTGAGAGAGAGAGAGAGAGAGAGAGAGAGAGAGAGAGAGAGAGAGAGAGAGAGAGAGAGGTTGACTTGTTCTTCCACTTACCCATGAACCCATTGGTTGATTCTTATATGTGCCCTGACTGGGGATCAAACCCGCAACCTTGGCGTATCGGGATGATGCTCTACCGAACCGAGCTACTCGGCCAGGGCTATTTGAGTCTCATTTGGCTTTTACACTTGACCTCACGAGCCCTTTCTACATCTTCTTGCTGTCAGTGACTGTTCGATGGCTATATTTGAAGTAGAAGTTTTTAAAAATAAGAAGCGAACGCTGCCTTGGCTCTGTGGGTGAGTTTGATTACCGTTCTGAGGCTGCTTTCCCTGGGATGAAAGTCAGCCCTCCTCCCAGTAACGGCAGTAGTTCCTTTGTAGGGCATTTAACTTCAGAATCTCAGCCCTCATGAGGAACACGAATGAAAAAGAAACAGAAGCCTTATGTAACTGTGCAGTAATGAGAGGGAAACAAATCCTCTGGTGATCCGAAGACATTCGCTGAGGTTTGAGCAGTTGTTTTCCTGAGCTGCAGGCACTGCCTTCTAAATCTACAAAATCAGGATCCCAGCTAAGAGCAGTACCATCTCCTCACACGTTTTCTACTGCACTTCAGGTTCCTGTTCCCTGAATTACCTCACTTAACCCTCACACCTTCCTTGGTCCTGAGTTCTGCGTGGGGAACTCAGGAGGAGGTGCTGGACAGGAGATCATGTCTCCCTTTGCAGGGATGGAGGCGGAGGGCCGGGTGCAGATGGAGGAGTGTTTGTTGAACTGGGGGTACTACTAACCACCTTCAGACCCTGTAACGGGGGCCCCTGCCCTGAGCCCCGTATTTCAGAGGGACCAGCTCTGGCTGCACTCCAGGTTTATGTCCCCCGCAGCACAAGAAACTGTGCCCACCCAGAGCCATGCGTCCTCTTTAAAAATATGCTGTGGTGTCTGGGACCTCAGAATCCGGGGTCTATACCACTGGTCTGAGGCGTGACAAAGGGGCAGCTGTCTGCAGGGAGTGCAGACAGAGCATGGATGTGGGGTCTGAGCTGTCCCGCCGTCTACAGTCAGTATACAGGTGCAGGAGGTTCTACTTCATGGAATTTCTGGGGTGGGGAGGACAGCTGGATGGGGTGGGCAGGGCAAAAGCCTTCATCTGTAAAATTGTCCCTCAGGCCCTGCAAAAGTGAAGGATGGGCTGGTTAAGGTGGTTGCCAGCTGCTGGCTCCCACTCATCTGGGAGGTAAGAGGTAAGTTCTCTGTTCACGCTGGAGGGACATGGAGGAGTTAGGAAGATTGGAAGAGTAAACTGAGTAGAGAAAAGTAGATGCCGAGGCATATGGAGGGCACTTTGAAGGAGGGGACCGCCCATGTTTCATGCTTCTGTCTCAGGTGGATTCGCCCAACCTAAGATGAGTGCAGACAGATCATCTGGGGAAGGCCCAGGAGGCGCAGGTAGGAGAAGGGGGAGTGAGGCAGGAGGGAAGGCAGCCACTGGAGGGCCCGATAGCCAGCGGGTTACCCCTGCGGGCGCCTGGGCTCAGTCCTGCTGGGAATGCTGGGAAGTGGGTGCAGAATTCAGGTCACGGTTGTCCTCTTGTCCTGGACAGAGGGGGAGGGGGTATGGCATCTGCCTCCCAGCTACCCTGCTCAAGGGCGTATTCACACACCCACGTCCCAGGCCCTGGGTGGAGAGGCTGCGTGCGCCCCAGGGAGTGTTAACTGAGTCTCTCGCGTATTGTGAGTGCAGCCTTCGGGCAGGTGGAAAGTGCGTGGTCGGACATCACAGTGGCAAGGTCTGCGGGACCGTGGGCAGGGAGCCCTCCGTGACTCTCCATGCAGAGACAATTTTCATTACCCCAGTTTGCAGAGGAGGAAATAGAACAGAAAGGGCAAGCAGCTTCCCGCATCAGGCAGATGGGACGCAGCAGGACGGGCATAGAAGGAAGGAAAGAGCACTGGCCCCGAGCACCGCCTGCAAAAGGCCAGGAGACTCCCTCGCCAGTCAGCACTCAGTTCAAGGAGGAGCTTTTGTTAAATAAATTACTCTGTGTATTGATTTGAGAGAGAGAGAGAGACATCAGTTCATTGTTCCACTTATTGACGCATCCATTGCTTGATTCTTGTGTGTGCCCTGACCAGGGATAGCACCTGTCCTTGGCGTAGGGGGACGACGCTCTAACCAACTGAGCTGCCGGCCAGGGCTCAGAGAGGCGCTTTTTAATCTCAGCAGAGTCTTGCTCCAGGCCCCGTCCCAGTATCAGGGGACAGGAAGTTGTATGCCACTGAGACGGGCTCAGAAGGCCCGTCTGCCTCACTGGGTGGGTTAATGTGAGGAAGGCAGACGTCCTGGGCCCCTTGAACCGGGAGAAGCATGGCCGTCTGGACAAGAACATTCCACGTACGGTTTTTGGGAGACCACTCTCCTTTCACAGTGTGTGCTGGGCAGCGAGGGCTGGCGTGGGGTGAAGTTGACCGAATGTGAGAGCTTTTTTTTTTTTTTTTTTTTTTTTTTTTAATCCTCATCCGAGGACATTTTTCCATTTTTTGTACAGACAGAGTGGGAGGGAGAGAGAGGAAGAGAGAGAGAGGGAAACATCGATGTGAAAGGGACACATCGAGTGGCTGCCACCCGCACGACCAACCAGGGCCGGGGACAAACTGCAACCGAGGTACATGCCCTTAGCGGGAACCGAACCCGGGTCTCTCCGGACCACAGGCGGACGCTCTAACCGCTGAGCCAAACCGGCCAGGGCCGAATGTGAGAGCTTTTTATAAACTCATCTTTATTGTTGAATGTATCACAGATGTCCCCCATTTTTCCCCACTGACCCCCTCCTCCCCACTCCCGCCGCCCCCCTGCCTTCCCCACAGTAGTGTCGGTGTCCATTGGTTATGCATATGTGCATAGAAGTTCTTTGGTGTATCTCATCCCACCTTCCCTATGAGAGCTTTTTAATTGTCATGTTTGTTTTGTACCATGAGCCCCATTTTCTTTTTTGAGTACCTGACAGCTGGTTATGAGGGGCCATCTCCAAAGTGGCCTGTCTGGGGGCCCTGGAACGTTCCTCAGGACCCTCGTGGAAGGCCGTGGTGTGTGGCGATGAAAGCCGAGCTGGCTTGCCTACCCTTGGTCTGTCTGAGTTTAAGAGCAGAGCTAGGAGAACTCAGCCAAGGCCCGGAATGCCCCGGGCCCTTTGCATCGCCTCTGCTCCCACCTGCTCTACCAGCTGGAAGTGTGAACACGACCACGTCGCTCTTCCTTTGCACTCAGCCCCCCGCTTGCTTTAGCATCTGGTCCAGTACCTTCCTCCCGAGGCTTCACGTCCCCACCTCCGTCAACAACTGTCCAGACGCCCTGGGGTTTCTCAGCCCGGTGGGATCAATACCTCACCGCGTTGCCAATGCCGCTGCGTGATGTCACTGTTGAAGAAGGAGGGCCCGCGTGGTCTAGGGTTCCCAGGGCACAACTTTTCTGCTGTGACCTGGCTCAGGTCACTCTCCCATGCTGACCCATCACTCTCCCAGTGACTATACAGTCACTGGGCCAGTCTGTGTGGAAACCATTCCTTTCTACCCCCATTAAGCCGGGCTCCTCAGCCTGGTTCTCCCCTTGGAGGATGACAGTTGAGTAACTGGTTTCTTCCTTTCCAAAAAGTCCTGGCTTCTTGTTCCAAACAGGGCACCTCCTCTCCAGCCAGATCTGCACCCCACTTAACCAGGAGTTTGCCCTTGAGGAACTTTCTGTCTGAACAAAGTCAGTCTGCCAGGCTCTCAGGCACCGTGTTTACTAAGCATCGCCCTGTTAGCCTTGGTTTCCTTGGAACTCAGTGAACGCGTGGGGTTTGTGAGTGCAGGTTTAAGAGTCTGTTAGACCCAGGTTTGATCAAGTCTGTGACCTTGGGCAGTGACCTCTAGGAGCCTCAATTTCCCCATCTGTCAAATGGGGATGATGAAAACATTCACATTATAAATACAGTAATGCTAAAGCACGTTGTGTAGCACCTGGCATGTTTTAAGTACTCAATAAGTATTTATTACTATTACTATTCTATTATAGTAATAGTAATGATGATGGTACTAATAGTAAGCTAATAATACTACTACTACTGATAAATCTACGAAAGCTGATCTTATGACCTTTGTTTTGATTTTTTTAAAAAGATTTTTAAATTGATATTTGAGAAGGAGGGAGGGAGAGAGAGAAACATCGATGTGAGAGCAAAACATTGATCTGCTGCCTCCTGTACCCCCCTAATAGGGATTGAGCCCCAAACCAGGCCATGTACCCTGACGAGAGTTATACTGGCAACCTTCCAGTGCACGGGACGACGCCCACCCAACTGAGCCACACTGGCCAGGGCTGCTTTTGCTTTCGCTAGAAGCTCACACAGTCCTTGTTTTGGACCATGGGGTCCACAGGGAAGACTCTCCACTTTGGTTAGCCCATCGAGTATGTCTTCAGTCCCACATTCCCGCCCTGTTCTCTGTCACTGCGTTAGACGGAGAGTTACTTCTGCTTCTCATCCCAACATCACCTACCCAGCTGAACTGAAGGAAATCCATTCCCTTCCCCCTCCCTCCATGGAACCACGTCGGGCTCCACTGCTCTAGGCCAATGAGCTCTGAAAATTGGTCAAAGACCCATTGTTTCACTTTTGACAATGTCAGTGAACCTTGGCGGGGGCAGCTCAGTGATGTCAGAAGCAGCCTTGGGCCTCAAGTCTGGCACATCGGCAGGTGCCGGGACGGGGGCGTGGTGGCCATCTCTCCAGGCTCCCCAAGTGGAGTCCCCGGCTGCCTCCCACCCTGGTGAGAACCGGATCCCAACTGGATTACAAATGAGAATGGACCTTCTCTCTGATCTTGGCCAGCAGCCCCGGGCTTCGTAGACACGGCAAACACATGCTTTGTGAGGGGTTGGAATCGAGATTTGGGGAAAGACAGGCACCCTCTGGAGTCACTGTTCCTTATTCTCTGTCCTCCTATTTCAGGGGTCAGCAGCAGGTGTGGAGGGGCCGGTGCAGGGGTGCCGATCGGGTCGGCAGCTGGAGGGGGGAAGAAAGCAGACTGGTCCTGGGAGCTCAGACCTCCCCGGTGCCTCGTTCCCTTCTTGCCCTCAGTTTCGACCAGCTCCCTAATCTCACAGTGAGCTCCGCCTGGAATGGATTGCAGACAATGCCTCCCTTATTCTCTGTGGAAGGTGTCACATCAGACTCCTGATCAACATTCATCAGGCCGAAGGGCTAAGATTAAGAGGCTGTCCAAGTTCAAATACCAATGAACACAGGATGTTCTATCTCATATACTGGAGAAGCTGTGATTTAGGAGCTGGAGCAACATTTTTTTTTTTTTGGTTCCATTTCAAATGAAGCAAAAATGTGTGCTAGTAGAAAGCTGGAAGTCTCCTAAATGTCTAGAATCAGGAAATTGATTAAATGAATTACTGTAAATTTCACAGTGGGTGTGATGAATGTATTGAAATGGTGATATTGGCCTAAACTTGGCAGGGGAAATGTCCATAATATAATTTTTTGTAAGGAAAAAGCATCAGAAAAGACTATGGACAATATGTTCCTGTGTTGTTTTAAAAATGTATGTCTAGCCTGGCCAGTGTGGCTCAGTGGGTTGGGCATCATCCCATGCACCAAGAGGTCACCAGTTCGATTCCCAGTCAGGGCACATGCCAGGGTTGCAGGCTCGATCCCCAGTGGGGGGCATGCAGGAGGCAGCGGATCGAATTGATGTTTCTCTCTCATCCATGTTTGTATCTCTTTCTCCTTCTCCCTTCCTGTCTATTTAAAAATCAATAAAAACATATTTTACAAAAACATATATCTAAATACATATGTATATAGGTAGCTGTATGCACAGAACACCATTAGGAAAAATATATAACAAAGTGTTAAAACAATAGTCAGATTTGAGGGATGTTATTTACTTCTTTTTCTTTTTGTTTTGCTTTGTAATTTTGTTTCTTTTGCTTTACTGGTTTTTCTATATGTGATAATAGCATGTATTTATTGAGCAGCCACTAAGCATCAGGACTGTGGTCTCCTATTTACCTCTGAAAGGAAGTTGTTTGCAGAGAGGTTAGGCGCTAACCCAGGGTCATAAAGGTGAGACTCCATCCGAGTCAGCCTGCTTCCAGAACCCACCTTTGACTTCCTCCCTGGCAGGAAGGAGGCCGGTCCTGGCTCTGCCCTGGCGACACCTTTCTGTCCATTTGTTACCAAAGTGGGACAATATGTCAAGATTATTTTGTATTTTGGTTTTCCCCTCCTTAATCATGAATACTTTGTATTATTGGATGTATTATAAAATGGTTCACTGGAAACCCATATAATTTTATTAACCAATGTCACCCCAATAAATTTAATTGAAAAAAGAAAAAAACATGAATACTTTCATTCTGAGGGCGGATGCAGATATTAATGTGTCTCCCTTGCGAGAACTTCCCACCTGTAGTTTCCTTTTGGTTGTTTATTCCCAGGGTGCTAGGCCTGGAAGTTTGGAGAATAGAGGGCAGCAGGTGACTATTCATTCCCCTCCTGAGACCCAGGTGGCTTCTGTCCCCCACCTCAGTGGTCTGGATGAAGGGGAATCAGAGACCTGTCCCTGTATGCAAAGTCCTTGGAGTACTAAGTTTCAACCTTGGCTGCATATTGGAATCACCAAGGGAGCTTTAAAAACTTGCTGCCCGGGTCCACTCCCAGAGGTTCTGATCGAATGGGTCTGGGGCGCAGCCTTGGCATTGGGAGTTTCCGGAGCTCCTGCAGTGATGCTCAGGTGTGACAAGGCTGAGAACCATGCCCTAGAACACCTGCCCTACCACCCCCGCCCCTGTCCCCACTGTCCAAGGAGACAACATTGGTTTGGAGAAAATAGTTTCTTCTTGATCAGCCCTTACCTAAGTGAAACAGTGTGGATTAAGCTCTTGAGGGAGTTTGGGGTTCTCAGTGGCCCACTGGGGAAAGGAGTCTCAGAGAGGTACAGCCCATTTCTGACCCTCCCTTTCCCCCTTTTATTCAGTATGGAATTGTGCTCGATGCCGGGTCTTCCAGAACCACAGTCTACGTGTATCAGTGGCCAGCAGAAAAGGAGAATAATACCGGAGTGGTCAGCCAAACCTGCAAATGTAGTGTGAAAGGTAAGGCCCAAGGTGGGTCTGGGAGGCCCAAAGGGAAGCAAGGTGGAGTCCTATGTCCCTGAAGGCCTGGAGGGTTCTGAGAAGCTGCCTGGACTGGGTGTCAGGAAAATACGAGGTCTTCTGCTGGTGCTGCTGCTCATCAGAAACAGTGACCTTGGGTCAGTCACTGCCCTCTGTGAGCCACAGTTTTCTCTTCTGTAGAACAAAGAGCTATGAATGTGAAGAACTATGACTGGGCTGAGATTTTACCCTGCCACTTTCATGGATGTTGGTGGAAGCCACGAGATTCCTGGGTCACGAATCAAGGGTGGTTTATTATTCAATAGCAGTAGCCAGAGTATCAGCTAGTTTTCTTACGCTGGTTCTCGGAGGACGATCTAAAGAGGGCCAGGCAGTATCTGCTTACATGGTGCTCGCTGTATTACAGAAGAGAAACCTGAGACTGGTGAGTCTGAAACATTTATAAAGGGCCCTGAGCTCGCCTGCCTTTTGCTCTGGGTTGCAGCCTATCTCTGTCTTCTGGGCCTGTTTGCAAACATCCTTGAGAAAACAGTCTAGAACAAAGGCAATCAGTGCCTGCGCTCATCAAACGTGCAGAAACACGAGAGACTCACAGGTGTCTTCCAACAGGTGTATGTGGGTGGGGGAGGGGGGGCAGAAACAAACAGGCATGGCTCTGTTCCAGAAAAGCTTTATTTATAGACCCTGAAAGTCGGAATTTCATAGAATTGTCACAAGTCACAAGAAACTGTTTATTCTTTCAATTCCTCGGCCCACCATTTTAAAATGTAAAATGTGCCCTGGCTGGTTTGGCTCAGCGGTTAGAGCGTTGGCCTGCAGACCAGAGAGTCCCGGGTTCGGTTCCCGCTAAGGGCATGTGCCTCAGTTGCAGTTTGTCCCTGGCCCCGTTTGGGGTCGTGTGGGTGGCAGCCACTCAATGTGTCTCTCTCACATCCATGTTTCACTCTCTCTCTTCCTCCCTCTCTCCCTCCTGCTCTATCTGAAGATAAATACAAAAATGTCCTCCGGTGAGGATAAAAAAAAAAAAAGTAAAATGAAAAATCTATCTTAGCTCACAGGCTGCACATAAAAAAAGATGATGAACTTGATTTGGCCAGGAGCTGCCGACCCCTGGAATAGCACGTTATCAGCATGTTTAATGACCCTCCACACAACTCCCTGTCCCCACTAACATAGCCTGAATTTTATATTCACTGTTTCCTTGCTATTCTGTATAGTTTTGTCCTTATGGATTTAGTTTTTTCTGTTTTTGAAAAATGGAATGAAACGCATATTTATTTAGATGGAATCAAACATTTATTCTTCTGTAATTTGCTTTGTTCACTAACATTGGGTTTTAAGATTCATCTATATTGATACGAGTAGCAGTGGCTCATTCATTTTTTCCTGTTGTTGGACATCTGTATCTCCCTGGTTATCAATAAGGTTGAGAATCTTTTCATATATTTATGACCGTTTCTGTTTTCTGTGAAATGCCTGTTCATGGCTTTTTCTTTTTCTTATTGATTCATTGAAATTCTTTATACATATTCTGAATAGGAATGTTTCCTGGTGGTGGATAATATTTTTGCTAATATTATCTCACAGTTTATGGTTTGCCTTTTTAGTCTCTTCATGATGTCTTTGGATGAGTAGAAATTCTTCATTTTTATGTAGGTGCAATTATCAACCTTCTTTATGGTTTTCTCTTTGGGATATTTTATTTAAGAAATTCTTCCCTGCCCTGTGGTCATAAAGGTATTCTTTCATCAGAAGTTTTATAAATTTGCCTTTAACAATGAAATCTGTAGCCGAGCCCAGTCAATGAGTGTGCGTCTGTGTGAGCCTTTTTAAAAAACAGTCACTGGAGCGCACTCTGGTCTTCGGGGTGGCCTGGAGCTTCCCAGTCATTTTGTCCTGTATGGATGACAGATAACTCAGAGGACAGCAGGTTACAACCTCCGGACTAGTCCTCCTAGCACCAAGTCTCTCCCTCATTTCTCTCAAGGGGCTGCTCATGCGGTGTCCTGGGGGGCATGGCATCAAACAAGCTGCGGGGCAGAAGCAGCCTCCCCAGAAGTCTTCTTTTGAAGACCAGGTGGACTCTGATCACCTGCCTCCGACGGAGAGCATCCTGGAGCCCTGATGCGTAGGTGTTCCAGTTCGGTTTTCTAGAAGCCGGGTTCGGGATGCCAGGTGGTTACTAGAGATCCATACCTGTCGAAGGAGGGGATAAGAAGGAGGATTAGACAGAAGAGATGACAAACTTCAGCGCAGGCCTGGCAAAGCTTCAGCCCATCAGAGTTCGCCTGCCTTAGTTGAAATGGCCTGAAATGGCTGGGTTGCCATACCCTGGCACCTCCTCTCATGTTTATGTTCATTTGGATGTTGCCACCCCGGAGAGAGCAAGACTTTGAGCAAGGCAGCTCTCTGTAGCTGAGGCGAACCCTGAAGCCGCTTGAGGGCTGGGACAGTAGGCCTTTATGCGAAGAGCTTCTACGTGGCGTCTCTCTGGGCTCATCACGAGGACTTGGATGTGTTCTGAGTACCGCTTGTCCACAAAACACAGGCAGCAGTAGCCTTGCCCTGACCTTAGCCAGAAATCCCATCTCTGTTCTCCTGGCAGGGGTGGGGAACCTTTTTTCTGCCAAGGGCCATTTGGATATTTATAACATCATCCGCGGGCCATACAAAATTATCAATTTAAAAATTAGCCTGCTGTATTTGGTCAGGCTAATTTGGTGAGGCGCGTGATGTGAGCTGGTGTTGATCTCAAGGGGCGTATTCAGCCCGCGGGCCGGATGTGCCCACCCCTCTATGTCTGAGCTGTTCCTCACCTCCAGGCTTGAAAGAAGGCACCAGGATGCTCGTTTAGAAAGGAGAGACCACCCGTTTCAAGAAGGGAGGGTAGTGTAGAATAGCGGTTAAGACTTCACCTCATCCCTACTGTGTGAGCTCTGGGAAGTTATCTAACCTCTCTGCATCTTGACCTCCTCATCTCTAAAATACAAAGCATAATAATAGTGAAGCCTCCCCCATGGGAAAGATTTGAAGATCAAACGACATGACAGATGTAAAAGAGGCATTCAGCAAGCACTCAGTAAGTGTTAGCTGTTATTGTTCATGGGGCACCGTACTTGACGGCTCCTGGTGAATTTTCTTGCCAAAGGTTCCTCTGTCCCATAGTTGCAAGATCTGTTCAGACTCAGGAAAGCGATTCAGCCAAGTCAGCCCCGATGTCTCTGGCTTGTAGGAGATGTAAGATTGTCATGGGAGGGAACACAGGCAGTCTCTCGGGCAGGGGCCCTTGGCCCACCCAGGATGGGATTTAGGGAAGGAGCAGGGTCACGGAGCCTATACCACATCCATAAATGGATCTTCTCTCTTTGATCACAGTAGCCTCAGTGATCCATATATACCCCGAGTGACCGAAGAACCACAAGCAAAAGCTTAATTACAGAGTCGAAGTTTGGCTAAGTGTCATCCTCTCGAGGACATGTTGCTTCTCAAGGATAATTTGGGTTTCTGGTTTCCCAACTGCAAATTTTCCTGGGACTCCCTCTTCTTAGCCAACTCGAGTAGGTGGTGGATGCTCCCTTGCCTAGCTGTGTTTCCCAGATGCCTAGGCTCTCAGACATTTATTTCTCAGGGGCTCCCTGGCAAGTATGAGTCCTCAGATGCTGTTCTTTTCCAGGAGTTCACTGGGTGCTGGTTCCCAGGCTGCTGTCTGGGGCCCTGGCTGCTTGTAGAAAGCCATTCCCTGGAGGGGACCAGCTCCTTGGCCCCCCTCCTCTATTTTGCAGAGTGTGGCGCCCAGGCCTCTGCTGCCTCTTCCCACAGGAACATCACGACCTCCCTTTACACCAGTGCTTTAAAATCCTTTAGCCCGGCCAGTGTGGCTCAGTGGTTGAGCATTGACCCATGCACCAAGAGGTAGCAGGTTTGATTCCTGGTCAGGGCACATGCCCGGGTTGCTGGCTTGATCTCATTGATGTTTCTATCTCTTTCCCTCTCCCTTCCTTTCTCTCTCCAAAAATCAAAAACGTATTTTTAAAATAAATCCGTTAAACTCCACTGGAGGCCTCTCCTCTATTGAAATATCTTCAAGAGTTGCTTCAGGGACCAGGCCACTACAGTGTTGAAAGCACCCTTTGCTCGGGCACATGTCTTATGCTGCTGTCCCAACTAGAGTAAGTTTTGTGTCGTCTGCCCAGCCCTCTGTTCTCAGATTGGAATAGTAGTTTTAACTCTCTGTTCTTGGGGTTGAGAATCCCAGTATCCCAACAGCCTATGAGCCCAATCTCCTTTTCCCCCTAGGAGGCTAAGGGACCTACCTTATGCATATAGGCCCTCTGATGACATGCTCAGATGCTCCAAGTGTTGATGTTCTAGAAGGCTCCTGATCGGTCCCTGCGCAGCTCTGGCAGAACACATTTGATTTGCTCCAGCTGCGAATACATGATCCCTTGCTGTAGAGTCGCATGCTGGTTTGAAAATCTCATTCATTCATTGAATCATTTGTCCATTCTTCTTCTTCTTCTTTTTTTTTTTTTATCCTCACTCGAGGACATTTTTCCATTTTTTGTTCAGATAGAGTGGGAAAGAGAGAGAGAAACATTGACGTGAAAGGGACACATCAAGTGGCTGCCACCCGCACAACCAACCAGGGCCAGGGACAAACTGCAACTGAGGTATGTGCCCTTGGCGGGAACCGAACCCGGGTCTCTCTGGACCGCAGGCCGACGCTCTAACCGCTGAGCCAAACCAGCCAGGACCATTTGTCCATTCTTATATTTAATATTTACTGGGTGCCTGCTGTTTGCCAGTAACATTTCTTGAGACTAGGAATTCCAAAATAAACACAATATACAGCGTCTGCTGTTACAGAATGTACATTCCAATGAAAGAGGTGGCTGATAAGTAAACAGAGATATAATGTATCGGGGAGACGTTCTGTGAAGAGAAACCAAGCCAGCAGGTGGCTAGAGTGATTATGCTATTTCAGACCTGGTCTTCGGGGAGGAACAAAGAAGGTGATGGTTAAGCAGAGACAAAAGTGAGACGAGAGAGTGAGCCATGCAAGCTTTTGAGGTAAGAACGCACTGAGGCGGAGGGTGGACTGCTCGGCGTTGTCTAGGAGCAGCGAAGGTGCCGGCGTGGCTGGGGCAGGATGAGGAAGAGGAAGGAAGAGGAGAACTGAGACCAAACCTGTCGCCAGGCCAGTTCTTGGAAGGCTTGAGGCACAGTAGGCCTTTGACTTTTACTCAGATGAAGTCTCTGCAAACTATACTGAGAAGCCACTAGGAGATTCTGATCAGGGAACTCACACGCGATGATTTACCATTTTAACAGATGCCTCTGTTGATATGGGACAGGTAGTGACAGGCTAAGATTAGAAGCAGCGAGATCAGGGCTATCGGAACACGGCAGGCGTCACACGATGTTCTGATGGTCTGGCCTAGAAAGGTGCCTGTCAACGTGGGGTGGTTTTGCCCTCCTCCCATCCCCTATCCCCCAAGAAGCATTTGGAAACGTCAGGGGACAGTTTTGATGGTCCCAGCTGAGGTTGGGGGTGCTGCTGGCACCTAGCGGTAGAGGATGGAGGTGCAGCTGAACACCGCACAGCTCTCGGGAGGGCCTCCTGCAACCAACAATCATCCCGCCCCAAATGTCAGCAGTGCTGAGACTGAGAAACTCTGATCTAGAATGTTCTGGGAGATGGGGTGAGATGTGCTCAGATTGGAGAGCCAACAAGACTTAACGATAGGTTCGCTGGGAGGCACCCAGGTTGACGGTGCCTGAGCATCATTCTGACCTGGGTCACTGCAGGTGATGGCGCCATTTCCTGAGCACGGGAGCACCTGGGTGCCATCAGCTGGGGACGTGGCAGGAGTTCAGGATTTGGGTTTGCACACAGAGAGTCGGAGGTACCTGTGAAACATCGAAGTCAGGGCTGGCACACGCTCTGTGAAGAGCTGGACGATAACTATTTTTCACTTGTCGGCCAGCCACATGGTCCCTGACAGAACTGTTCACCTCTGCACTTGAACGTGAAGGCAGCCATGGCCAGTAGGCAGGCAAAGAGTGTATTTTAAGAAAAGCTTTATTTCTGGACACTGTACGTGCCTAATGAGATATACTCTGAGGACAGAAGGAACTTTACAAAACATCTTAAACTGTTTTCCATCATCGTACAGCTGGTGGTAGTGCTGGTGTTATCATACTGAGACTCTGTGTGTGGATTGTGAAATACAGCCAATGAGTTACTCAGTTGGAGTGCTGGAAAACAAGATTTGTATCAGAAAGAAAAAAAGATGAACATGTAAAATCAAAGAATTTCAGTAAAAACCTGTAGTTTTGAATCAGAAGCACCAATAAGAATTCATGATATTTTTTTTTCTCCTGAAATAAAGTTTTCCCTAGGTCTGTCCTCTGAAAAAACGTACAGTGAGCACCATAGCTTCCAAATTTGGGGTGCTAAATACCATTACCCAATAAAAGAAACCAGGGCTTCTTGGAGGAATGGCTGAGTCCTGGCCTGGGGCAGGAAGTATATAAGGTCATTGATACATCTTATCATATCAGAAAGCAAAGAAAATCTCCAAGGACTCAGGGCCAACTGAAGAAAGTTCAGTAAGAATAATTGTTGCAATGACTTGAAACACAGCAAATATATCTGTAAATGTATATGCCCCTAAGATACAAAACAAACAAACGAAATCCCTCTTTGGTTAAATTAGAAAGATATTGAGGGTGCCATCTATATTTTTAAGCTGGTAAATAAAGGGACAGAATCAAGCACTTCTTCCCTGAGCAAGCTGCACTTTTGGGTAACCAGCTAGTTAATGATGAGGAAGCTCTTCCCTGATTACAGCATTTTAGGTAGAAAATGAAGCAAGAATGGTGGAAATAAAATATCACCATTGCATTGGCCCTGATGAACGGGTGGATCTCAGCAATGATCACCGATGCCCACACCAAAAGCTAGACGCTCACTCGTGCCTCCTACTGGACGTACACACTAATCCCTGTGAATTATCGCTGAAGACAGTTCAAACCTGAATCTGATGAAGCCTCAACTTTCAGTTACCAGTTGATGGGAAAAACCAGGACCAAATAACATGTTCAGTGAACCATGGGGATTCCATCAGGAAATTCTAGGCCGTGGGAAACTACAGGAAGAAAAAAAAATGAATTACAAGGAAAAAATAGAAAGAGAGGGCACAACCTATAGATTAAAAGAGACTTAAGAGAGATATCAACCAATTGCAATGGATGGAATTTATTTAGACTCGAATTCAAATAAACTAGAGAGAAGGAGAGGGGTGGGGGTAGGGGAAGGAGAGAAAAAAAAAATAGGACCAAGGAGGAAATGTAAACCTTATCTAGATGGTTGACTATATATTAAAGAATCATTTAAAAAATTTTATAGGTCTAATAATGGGATAGTGGTTATGCTTCTTTAAGAGAATTCTTGTCTTTTAGTGATACATGCTTAAATATTTATGGAATGAAAGGATGCCATGTCTGCAGTTTGCTTTGTGAGGAGGGAGTGGGGGAGATGAAGTAAGAGGTGATCACTGTTGAAGCTGGGTGCATGGGTTCATTACGTGATACTCCCTACTTTTATTTGTATTTGACATTTCCAAAGTGAGAGCTTCTTTGGTAGAGCTATTAGGGCAGCATGCTATTTGCATAAAGATAGACTGAGGCTCTCTAGAAGGCGAGGCGGGGTGTCTTTTTAATTACATTTATTGAGGTAACATTGTTACTGACATTATAGAAGTTTCAGGTGTAAACAATTTAATGTGCCATCTGTGTCCTCTACTGAATGCTCACCACCCGAAGTCTGGTTCCCTTCTGTGACCACGTACCATGTATTTGACCCCTTTACCAATTCAGGAACTTTTGTTTTTGTTTTTAATCCTCACCCGAGGACACTTTTGCATTTATCTTCAGATAGAGTGGGAGGGAGAAAAGGAGGAAGAGAGAGAGAGAAACATCGAGTGGTTGCCACCCACATGACCCCAACTGGGCCAGGGACAAACTGCAACTGAGGTAAGTGTCCTTAGTGGGAACCGAATGCGGGACCCTGTGGTCCACGAGCCGATGCTCTAACTACTGAGCCAAACCGGCCAGGGCCAATTCAAGAACTTTTAAAGCAGGTTTATTTTTTTACCCTGGCTCATTTTCTTTCCTTTTTTTTTTTTAACTTCTGTAAATCCTTCCTTCTATATTTTGAGAGTTGACCCATCAGAGTGACCACATGGCACCTAGTACACCCACGTTTCAGCCCCCTACTAAAACCTATTCATTTCCAAAGCTGATTGTCTTTTTTATTCAAAAGTTGTACTGCTCTTGGTGGTTCCTGGGGTGCTAAGCAGGGCTGATGCTTCGTCTTTAGGCTCTGGGATCTCCAGCTATGGGCAAAACCCCCAGGAGGCCCCCAGAGCCTTTGAGGATTGCATGCAGAGGGTGAAGGAGCAGATTCCAGCCCACCTGCACGGATCCACGCACATTTACCTGGGCGCCACGGCCGGCATGCGCCTGCTCAGGTAGGGACGGGACGGGCGCAGGGGAGCCCTCTGACCCGAACAGCCACGAATGCGTGGGACCTTGCCAAGAACGTGACTATTTCGGAAAGAAAGAAGCCCATATTCTGCCATAAATTGAGGCTTTCAAAATTGGGGAACTTCCCGCCTTTAATGCCCAGTAAGAAACAGTTCCGAAATCCATTCCCTTGCCCGCGGCAATTCTAACGAGAACTCAGAAAAAGAAGGCAATCTGAAATCCGCCCATGGGAGTTTTCCTCTAGTTTCTTGGAAAAGTAGACACTATTTTTGACACCTTTGTATTTTTTTTTATTATATATATATTTTTATAAATCTTTTTTCTTTATTGATTTTAGAGAGAAAGGAAGGGAGAAGGAGAGAGAGATAGAAACATCGATGAGAGAGAACATCGATTGGCCACCTCCTGCATGCCCCCCACTGGGGATTGGGCCTACAACCTGGGCATGTGCCCTGACCGGGAATCAAACCAACGACTTCTTTGGTGCATGGGTCGACGCTCAACCACTGCGCCACACCAGTGGGGCTTGACACCTTTGTATTTTGACACGTGTGCACAACCAGCTCCACAAAGTGCCCCCCACAGCCACGCGGCTGGTACCCATGTAGAATGTCACTGAAGTCACGATGCTTCTGCACCTCGCCCTCGTCGAAGCCTTTGGAGCTACTATGAAACAAACATCTCATTTCAGTCAAGTATGCAGTTCCTTCTAGGTTTGCAGCCGCGACAGCCCTTTATCTTCATTTCCTCACTGGAGTATTCCTTTGACCCTGAAATTTAAAAAAATAGTTAAAAAAAAAAACCTTAAATCTATGTAGGGCAGAAGCTGCTCCAAACTTTGAAAATAAGGCTTTATCCCCCAAGGATGACACTCATTCTGCTTCAAAGACACTTTGTCTGGGAGCCCAGTAATGTAGGATTACACGTGAGGGTGTGAAGGAAATACAAAGGTACAGACAGCCACTTTAACATGACCATCCAAAAAGTCACCAAGGCCCAGCCGTGTGGCTCAGTGGATTGAGCGTCGTCCCATGAACTTAGAGGTCCCGGTTTGATTCCTGGTCAGGGCACATGCCCGGGTTGCGGGCTTGATCCCCAATGGGAGACATGCAGGAGGTGGCCGATCCATGTTTCTCTCCCACATCGATGTCTCTCTCTCTCTCTAAAAAAATCACAAAGTTCTCTTAATTGGATTGGGCCTTTATCCTGCAGTTTCCCTACCCTTTTTCCTATTCCTGTGTCCTGGTTGACCAAGTAGAATGTGGAAGGAAGTCAGATACCTTTGCTCATTTTTGGAATCTGCTGAGTTTTAAAATTAATGAGTTTACCTGAAATAGAAGTGATATAGAAATTCCTTCCTTCTGCCTTTTCTTCCTCATGGAAACAAAGAACCCAACTTTTACTCAGTTACTTTTTTCTCCCAGTCCTCTGAGTGAGACAGACACCATGGGATAGAAAGTTCAGTGCTTGGGGGGAAAGTGAATGAATGTCCCATTTGAGTAAAGTAAATATTAACTCCTCTTTATAAAATGTTCTGATGGCAATCCATTTCTTTTGAGCAACTACCTGACATTTTACAATATACATTTTTATTGATTTTTAGAGAGAGAAAAAGAGAAACATGGATGTGAGAGACTTGGATTGGCTGCCTCCTGCACGCCCCCTACTGGGGACCGAGCCTGCAACCCCAGGATGCCTGTGACCAGGAATTGAACCAGCAGCCTTTTGGTGCACGGAATGATGCCCAACTACCTGAGCCAGCCACACTGGTTAGGGCCTAGCTAATATTTTAATTGTAAGAAAAGTCAAATATTTAAAAATAATAATAATGAGAATCATCCTGGATGAGAACTGATAACACTAGGAAAACTCTGAATTATTTCCCAAGCATTGGTAGTTTGCTACCGAGTTGGAATGGACTCCTGCTTGTAGCATTGCTCTTTCTCCTTGAGCGAAGAGTGAGCCCGTGCCCCTGGCTTTCTCAACACACTGATGAGAGGGAAAATAATGTCCCGAGGGAGCATCTGCCACAGGGTAAGATGGCAGCAGATGAATGATGTAATAACACCATGGTGACATAAGACTGCCATGTGGCCACCCCTCCTTGGGTCAGCACACTGATGGATTTCAATCCAAGGACGCCCGTGATGGTCCCCACATCTCCTCCTGGCGAAGCCCTCCCAAAGAGCAAAGCAGAGACAGCTTTGAGGGAAGAGGGAAACAACCCTCTTCCTTTCCTCACCTTCTCCTAAGCTCCCCTTCCTTTTGGCCTGATGAGGGCTCCTTTTTGTGGTACCCCGAGAGATTGCTTATGCCACTCCTGTGCCGTCATCGATCTCCTTTCCTCTGCTGACCTGAGCAGCAGCGGTGATGAAGCACATGGCTCTTTGGATTTGCTGGCTGCTAGGGGTGGGGCGGGAACAGGCAGGGGAGGAGAGAACAAGTGGTGTTTTTCCTGGAATCTGTGTTCCTGCCTGGCCGTCTGACAGGTAACAAGTGCAGCTGCCCTCACTGCGACCCAGAAAGCCTCAGCTTGCCAAGGGCGTTGCCTGGTATTGCACACATCTGGAGCACTGTCCCTGCCAGCAGCGGGGTGGGCAGGATTACGTCTTCACCTGAGTGAGATTCTCTTTAAGGCTCTGTTGTCTGGGCACTCAGCCTTGTGTGTTCTGTGCCTTGCATAGGTTGCAAAATGAAACAGCAGCTAATGAAGTCCTTGCAAGCATCCAAAACTACTTCAAGTCCCAGCCCTTTGATTTTAGGGGTGCTCAAATCATTTCTGGGCAAGAGGAAGGGATATATGGATGGATTACAGCCAACTATTTAATGGGCAATTTCCTGGAGGTGTGTGAAAACAAATGCATGGTTTTTAATCTTGCTCTTCATCCCTTCCCCTGCGGGTGGGAGCTTAAGCAGAGGTGCATGCCACAGGGGCATCTGTCCTGTTCCTACCATGGTGGTTCCTACCATGTCACGCATTAGGGAAACACCGAGGAGATAGTAACTAAGAAAAGACACGTATAGCTGGTGCAAAACCTTGCATCACTAGCAGGACCAAATGCATGGGGGAGAGGGAATATCATCACTTCACTAGCTCATAAGATATTGGAGGAGGGGGCAGTGAAAATCTGACACTGGGCTATGGGTAGTTCGAAGGGCAGCTGAAAAATGGCTCTCTAAGGTGCTCCATAGCCAGCTGGAATTTACAGAGCCTGCAGGCAGCCTGCGTCCCCAGTTCCTGTGTCCCCAGGTCTCCGTACACTCCCGTCCCCACACGCCCTTCTCCTTCGGTGCAGGGGAGAGCTGGTTCCAGGAGACAGTCACCGAGCTACAGAGGGCATAAGCCGAGAACACCCCGACCATATCCAGCCCAAGGCCTATTCTGTTCCTCTTCAAATTATTTTTAAATTTTTAGTTAATTGCCAACAATTGATATTTTAGAAATTTCACATAAAAAATCACAGTTCCCGCTTCTCCTGACCCCACCCCCGAGACGTGGAAAGTGCTGGTCACAGTGAGCTCGCATTCCTGCAGGGCACCAACCAATGGAACAGAATGTAGCATAGGCACTCCCCAGTTTGCCCCAGGCCCCACCATTCCCTCTTGTCTACACCTAACCTACTTGCTCATTTCTGTTGCCTGCCCGGTCCTGTAAGCATGTGAGTCCCCCTGACCCCCGACATGAAGGAGACATATGGCCCCGAATGCCTCCTATGTCATAGTCTTAGCAGGAAGAGGTGGGCCGTAGGTGGGGAACCCTAGGCAAACAGAAATGGTGTCTGTGGCCGTCTTCATGCTTTCTCTCCCCGCTGTGCAGAAAGACCTGTGGCACATGTGGGTGCATCCGCACGGAGTGGAGACCACAGGTGCCTTGGATTTAGGCGGTGCCTCCACCCAAATATCCTTCGCGGTGGGAGAGAAGGTGGAGCTGAACAGCAGTGACATCATGAAGGTGTCCCTGTATGGCTACGTGTACACACTCTACACACGCAGCTTCCAGTGCTACGGCCGGAACGAGGCGGAGAAGAGGTTTCTGGCGATACTCCTTCAGGTACGGGGGCAGGGCGGGCGGGGTGGGGAGCGGTGTTTCCTTGGAGGTCACAGCTGGGGGAGGGTGCCTTGCCTCCCGGTCAGCCCTTTGCACTGCAGCTGGAAGGTGGCAGAAACGACAGCACTTCCCGGTTTACTCGCAGGGGTCCAAGCTCACTTGTTCTCTGTCGCGTTGACTCCTTCCAGTGTATTCGAGCCAGAACTGCAAGGAAATTCCAGAGCTCCAGATGTTTCATAAATGATTCCAGTCCCAGGATCCCTTTATGGACACGGACTGTTTCAAACCAGTAGCTAAATAAGCCTGAGAATGTCGAGACTCCCCTGTGTGCAAAGTAATAAAAGTGGCCCCAGGAGAAATGCTTGCTGACGGGGCGGGCAGAGCTGTGCCAGGCGCGGCCTCCTGGCAGACAGGCCCATGTTAGGCAGGCTTGGCGCCCTTTATATGGTGGGATTTTAGAGCCACCAGTTCCGTCCCATCGGTCAGTGAGTCACACGGCAACTATTCCACGGCCCAGCTGCTACGTCAGGCATGCGCCGTGTGGCTGTCACTGATATAAACCCGATGCCATGCAGTGGGTCAGCGAGCACCAGCCCCACGGATGACACCCCAGGCCCAAACTCCAGTGCTCAGGGGGCATCGATCTCGGCCAGGGCTGAGGAGGGAAGTTGAAGGGAAGAGGCCTTCACCACCCAGAGGGACATGAGGCCAACCAGACCACAGATCCTGGCTCCTGATGGGACCCAGGGCAGGGGACAGGGTGGCCAGCCTGTGAGCGTGGTGGACCCAGCACCATTAGGCTAACCGCCGCTCTTGCAGCCTATCTCAGTAACTGAGGAAGGAAGTAGCAGTCCCCCGACCTGAGGCTGCAGAGAAACTGGGCCGGCTCACAAACGTGTCATCAGGAGAACTCTCGTCTTCAGACCCTGTATTAACCGAGCAGTCATGCGGGGGGCGGGGGGGTGAACATTCACCCCCAGTTCCGATCTGCTCCCCACACTTCTCATCCAGCCTCATGGGAAAGGCTGGATCTCAGGACGCATGTGTGGCGTGTTGTCCAGAGAGCTGGGCACTGCCCCGGAGGACTGGGCGGGGGAACCCCACAGGCAGCCTCTGCCACTCTTCATGGCTCAGGAGACAGCGCCCTCCTCAGCCAAACCAAACCCACAGAGAACCCGATCTGCTCTCCCTAGCGAGGTCTCCAAACCCCCTCCTGGCTCTCTGCAGCTCAGCCAACACGCCTCTTTCCAGGAGACGAGCTCTGGAAAGTCCTCTTCTCTCCACCTCCCTCCGTTCCGGGCAATGCTTAAGGCTCCTTCCTCCAGCCCTGACTCCGGCTGGGAGGGTGGGGCTCCTTGCAACTCCGACAGAGGGGGCAGTGAAATCACCCTTCTCCCAGGGTGAGTGGGGGTCAGAGACTAACCTTTTAAAGTCAGCTGGCTCCGAGTAATATTCCTCCTGTCCGAGGTCTCATTTGGATTTGAAGACACCAGTTGCAAGGTGTGAGACCCCAGCCTCAACTCACAGGGACAGTCAATTCACAGGGACAGTCAACTCACAGGGCCAGGCCGTCTCTCCAGTTTGCCTGGTAACCTCCGGATGCCTGAGATTCCTGAGAAGGTGCATCCAGGTGCCGTCTGACTGGATCCAGGTGTGATGATCACCCACGCATGCGTGCCCGGATCTGCGTGACCACCACTTCCCTGTGCTGGATACATGCTGGCGAGCCCGACTCAGAAGGCTCACGCAGACTGTTACAACACGATCACCGATCACCGGGGGGTCCGTTCCGCCTGGGTCTCCTTTCCTGCTCTGTAACGTCAGGGCCTGCAATGTGGCGAGAAGGAAGCTGGATACATACCTGGCAAATTATCGTCTTACTAACCTGTCTCCAGCCGCCCCAGGGCTCAGGTCTCACTCTGATAGCATGTTAGACATTAGGGACATGCGCTCACTTTCTTTTTTTTTTAATCCTCACCCGAGGACATTTTTCCATTTTTTTAAATTCAGATAGAGTGGGAGGGAGAGAGAGGAAGAAGAGAGAGAAACGTCGATGGGAAAAGGACACATCGAGTGGCTGCCACCCGCACAACCCAACCAGGGCCGGGGACAAACTGCAACCGAGGTACATGCCCTTAGCGGGGACCGAACCCGGGTCTCTGGACCACAGGCAGACGCTGTAACCGCTGAGCCAAACTGGTCAGGGTGTGCTCAGTTTCTTTCAGGAAGATTTTTTTTTTTTTTTTTTTTTTTTGCATTTATCTTCAGATAGAGCAGGAGGGAGGGAAGGAGGGAGAGAGAGAGAAACATCGCTGTGAGAGAGACACATCAAGTGGCTGCCATCCACACGACCCCAACCAGGCTGGGGACGAACTGCAACTGAGGTACGTGCCCTTAGGGGGAACTGAACCCAGGACTCTCTGGTCCGCGAGCCGATGCTCTAACTGCTGAGCCAAACCAGCCAGGGCTCTTCTGTTTTTAAAGTAATACATGCTCAGTATTTTACATCAGTCGAGATTTGACTGTAGGGAAAATGAGATGTTTTAGTGGCCTTGAAATTAGAGTTCAAATCCTGCTCCTTTGAAAAGAGAGTTCATAAACATAACCAACTTGGGAATTTAGCATAAGATAAAGGGAGTATTTTTTTTTCACCGGTAAGCAAAATATTTGATAGTCATCTGGAAAAAATAACGAAGCCAGCTTCTTACCACAATCTTTATTCCAAATAAATTACAAATGGATCAAAGAGTGATATGTACCAAGTATGTTTACTGTGGTGGTGTTTGTAAAGGCAAAATGATTGGAAACCGTCTACATGTTCATCCAGAGGAGATTTCTTAAATAAATGTTCACTTATGAGGGGTGGGGAACCTTTTTTCTGCCAAGGGCCATTTGGATATTTATAACTTCATTTGTGGGCCCTCTAAAATTATCAACTTAAACATTAGGCTGCTCTACCTGGTCAGGCTAGTTCGGTGAGGCTGGGATGGGGCTGGTGTTGGATGGCAGGCCTCCTGCGGCCCACGAGCTGGCCGTCCCCGCCCCGGACGCGGACCGTGTGGTTCTCTGCAGCGGCTGGGAAGGGCTGCTCAGCGCGCACAACGAAGGGAAAGCTGCCAGAGGTGTTCTTTTTTGTTTGTTTGTTTTTCAGAAAATAGGTTTTTTGTCAGGCCGGTGTGGCTCAGTGGGTGAGTGTCGACCCGTGCACCAAGAGGTCGCTGGTTCGATTCCTAGCCAGGACACCTGCCCAGGTTGTGGGCCAGTAAGGGGCATGTGGGAGGCGGCCAATCGATGTTCTCTCTCATTGGTGTTTCCATCTCTCTCTTTCTTTCACTTCCTCTCTCTCTAAAATCAATAAAGGAAAAGCAAATAGGTTTTTAATGTTTTTTTTATTTCTTTGTTGATTTTTTAGAGAGGAAGGGAGAGGGAGAGAGAGATAGAAACATCAATAAGAGAGAACATCAATTGGCCGCCTCCTGCACGCCCCACACTGGGGATCAGGCCCACAACCTGGGCATGTGCCCTGACCTGGAATCAAACCAGCGACCTCTTGGTGCGTGGGTCCGATGGCTCAACCACTGAGCCACACTGGCTGAGCTCAAAGGTGGATTTGTAAGTGAGAAAAGCAAGGGACAGAACAGTGTGTGAAGTACTAGCATTTGTGGTTTTAAAGAAACAGAGGGAGGGAAAGAAAATAGATTTGCATATGCACACAAGCAGTACAGACAAAATCTCTGGCAGAACATGCAAAAACTGGCCATCGTGGTCACTGCCAGGGAGGGGATCCGTGCCTGAAAAAGGGCGGGAATGAGACTTAATTCTCATAATATATTTACACGTCCCTTTTGGATTATTTTATTAGGTGGATAGATAATCCATTCAAAGTAGTTGATTAATCTGAACATATCTTGTTTTCTCATCAAAGTGGAGATCACAGAACCTGTTTCACAGGTCTGTCGCAAGGGCTGGATCAGGTCATGTGAGCGAGAGCCTAGCATTGTGTCCCATGCGGGTAGCTGTCCCCCCACCGCCACTTGAGTTATCCAGACAACCTGGGAGTTGCTTTCAAGTACCCACTGGCACAGAATGGCATTTTTTCCATTTCCCTCTTGGCATTAAAGAGTAGCGATAATGAAAATTTGCAAAAGGGAAGTACCCGGTCCTCCCCCAAAGAGTGGTTTCTAATAGCTCACTCTTTGTACCTACAGAATTCCACCTCTGAGACCAATGTCACCAACCCCTGTTACCCTCGGAATTATGTCACCACCTTCACCGAGGGCCACCTCTTTGACAGCCTGTGCACGGAGGATCTGAGGCCTAGAGGTTACAACCCCGATCACACCATCACTTTTGAAGGAAGCGGAGACCCGTCGCTGTGTAGGGCACAGGTGGCTTCCCTCTTCGCCTTCAAAGCCTGCCATGAGCGAGAAGTCTGCTGCTTTGACGGGGTTTATCAGCCGAAAGTTAAAGGATCTTTTGTGGTAAGAGCAAAAACCAGTGAAAGAGTCCCTTTTTTTCTTCCCCATTGAATATTTACTTCTCACCTTTCTGTTTGTCTTCCGCCGCCCCGTCTCCCACTTTCTCTTCCCTGGCCGGAACCTCCGTGGTCCATCGCTCTGAGCACCGAGGCCGGCCCTTCTGCTTCCTTGCAGGCGTTCGCGGGCTTCTTCTACACAGCCAGCGCCTTGAACCTCTCCGGCAGCTTCTCCCTGGACACCTTCGACTCCAGCGCCTGGGACTTCTGCTCACAGAACTGGAGTCAGGTCAGTATTTGCAGAGAAAGGACCGGAGCACCGCCTCCGGCAGCGCTGTGTGTGTTCTGAATTCCGCCTCCGCTGTCTGCTTCCCCCAAACGGGCTGTCAGGGAACCATCCTGCCTCGTGGACCAGTGCCCGGTGCCGGGAGCGGTGCTTGGCCAGGATACGCACCCTATAACCTTAGAGATTGTTCTCGCATGATGACATATGGGGATATTTCTCAATATCATATAATCGCATTCTGTTAATTTTATCGCGAAAGCCTGGGTGATAGGATTCTTTCGAAGGGGACCGTTGCCCTAAGGCGTTCCGAAGCGAGCCTTTGAAACGCCCGCCGCCCTCCCTCCCCTGTTCTGACCTCAGCTCCCGCTGCTGCTGCCCCGGTTCGACGAGGTGTACGCCCGCTCCTACTGCTTCTCGGCCCACTACATCTACCACCTGCTCGTGAGTGGGTACAAGTTCACCGAGGACACCTGGCCCCAAATACATTTTCAAAAAGAGGTAAGTCAGAGCACAAATCTCTTCCTCCTCTTCCTCTCGAAGTAGAGGTTCGTGTGTATGTACGTGGAAGATGAGACTCTGACCACCGGGAGCTTCCCAGGAGAGATGATGGGACCCAGAGGAGACGCTCACCGCGGACCCTGTCCAGAGCGAGGGAGCAGAAGCCGTGGACGGGGGCTCCGAGTTCCGCAAGGGCAGGGCCTGTGTGGTCATCCTCGTATTTCTAGCATGCAGCACAGGGGCGAGAACCTGGAAGATGCTTAGTAAAACGTTTTGTCGAGTGAATAAATAAGTATGTTAAGGATTTGAGACTTTTCATCCTAAAAAGAAGTTTCAAACATAACTTTTTTTTTTTTTTTTTAAAGAGAATAAGAACAAATTGCTCTCCATTTACACAGATGTCAGAGTAAGATACAGGCTTCGCAGCCTGAGGGATTAAATGGGGTTTTCTCTGGGCATGAGCCTGAGGCACTGTGTTTGTTGTCAAGTGTCCAGAGTGGGCCAGAGCTGGCATCCCAGCTGTCCCCAGGTGACTGTGACGGGGCCTCAGACCTTGCTTTCCGGCCGATGTGGCCTTGCTGGAATGCTCACCCAGCACTGTGTTCCCTGGTTTTCTGGTTTCAGAAATAACTGATCCAAAGCCTGAAGTGGACCTGCAGTCTGTCTGTTCCGTATTAGCTTTGGCTAATTAGATTCGACCTGTCAGCATCTGACATTCGGCCTGTGACTGTCTAGTTTTATGTAAATGAAATTGAATCCTCTACAAGAAATAAGGATGTCTGGACACACATACGGACTGTCGGGGCATGTTCTCTCCAGGCTTTGCTTCGTGATCTGATTACTGGGAAAGTACATTGTGAGGACGAAGAATGACTTTCCCTGGAATACCGGCTTGGATGCGTACAGAATGCTAGGTTTCAAGTTCCTTTCCTTTCTAAAGAATTTTATATCCAGCCAAAGTAGTGTTCAGATGTGAGGGTCAAAAAGATTTCGGTTTTGCCACACAAAGACTTAACCTCAAAACTATTTTTGGAGGAGGTAATCAAATAAGACTGAAAATAAATCCAGGAGACGTTATCAAAACATGAAGTAAGAATAAATGATGTTGTGGCTTAAAGTGTATATTTAAAAACAAGAAAACTAACACCAAAAAAATAAATAAATAAAAGTAAAAGAAGAATTCACCCATACACCACAATAATCTAGAATTCAAGTATAGTTAATATTCAATGTGATGGGGATGGGGTAGGGGTCAGAGGTTACAGGGACGAAAGAGTCGCCCAGAATGCTCATCTTTTAAGGGAACATACACACATAATTTTTTCTTTTCTTTTTAAAAATATTTTTTTAATTGATTTTAGAGAGAGAGAAAGGGGAAGGGAGAGAGAGAGAGGGAAACATTGATGTGAGAGAGAAACATCAATTGGTTGCCTCCCGTACCATACGGGACCGAACCTGCAACCTGGGCATGTGCCCTGACTGGGAATTGAACTGGTGACCTTTCAGTGCACAGGATGATGCTCAATCAACTGAGCCACACCAACCTGGGCCATACAAAGTTTTCAAGGCAAGAAAGAAAAAAATAAATATAGGAAAATAGCACTAATTGAAAATTTAAGACTAAGTCCAAATATATCAATAATCATAAATGGACTAAACCTACCAGTTAAAAGACAGGCATTGTCAGACTGGATTGTTAATAATCAAGTATAGCCCTGGCTGGGTGGCGCAGCTGGTTGGAGCGTAGTCCCATACACCAAAAGGTTGCAGGCTTGATTTCCGGTCAGGGAACATAACTAGGTTGCAGGTTCAGTACCTGGTTAGGGCACTTACAGGAGGCAACAAATCAGTGTTTCTCTCTCACATTGATGTTTTTCTCTCTGTCTCTCTCTCCCTTCCTCTCTTTAAAAACCAATAGAAACATATCCTCGGGTGAGGATTTTTTTTTTAAAAATCAAGTATATGTAGTTTATGAGACAGACACTTTACTTATTTATTTATTTTTAATTCTCACCCGAGGACATTTTTTCATTTCTTGTTCAGATAGAGTGGGAGGGAAAGAGAGGAAGAGAGAGTGAAACATCGACATGAAAGGGACACATCGAATGGCTGCTTCCCATACGGCCCAACCAGGGCCAAGGACGAACTGCAACCGAGGCACGTGCCCTTAGCGGGAACCAAACCCGGGTCTCTCTGGACCACAGGCCGACACTCTAACCGCTGAGCCAAACCGGCCAGGGCAAGACAGACACTTTAAAGAAACATTTAGGCTCCACACATAAGGACATGGAAAGATCAAAAGTTAAAAAAGATTGTTTTAACTGTCAGGCCAACATCACCCAGAAGAAAACTGGTGTCGCTATTTAATATCTGAAAAAATAGTCTTTAAGATAAAGAGCATCATTCAAGACAGAGAAGATTAAAACATATGACAAAAAGTTCAGTTCATCATGAAGACTGCAAATTCGAAATATTTATCCATCTAATAAAACAACCAAACGCGTGTAAACAAAAATTGATTGAATTACCAGAACAAACTGACAAAGCCCATTTCTTAGAAACTGGCCCTTGGTTTAGTGAACACTCATTACCCTCTCTCTTTAGCTGCAGACACTTCGCCCGGCAACAATGTTTCACTGTTGTTAACTGTGTCCTCTTCACACTGGGCCCTGATGAGGCTGTGCGGGTTGGTTCTGACTTTTCTCTCCAGTGCTGAGGGTAGAGGCCTCGAGCCTGTGGGGTCCCAGTGACCTGGATTCCAGCCCAGTCTCTGCAGTGTCTGAACTTGGGCAAGTTCTTTGGCCTCCTTTCCTGTGGGGGTTTCATGCTGGTGACACTGGTCGGCCCCAGGTATGTAATTCCCAGCTCGACCCCTGCCCTGAGAACTGTCATCTCTTCTACTTCACAGGTGGAAAATAGCAGCATAGCCTGGTCTCTTGGCTACATGCTCACCCTGACCAACCAGATCCCAGCGGAAGTCCCCCTGATCCGCCTACCCATGAAGCCACCTACCTTTATGAGCACCCTTGCCTTCTTCACGGGAGTGGCCTTGCTGTGCCTGGCATTCCTGGTGTACCTGTATGCGTCGTCCAGGAATCAGAGGCGCTCCCAGCATGCCTTGGACCACGCGGTGGATTCCGAGTGAGCCTCACGAAGCAGCTGCTGGAGTCCGAGGGCTGCCACGGTCCAGCCTGGGTGGCATCAGACTCTGCAAGTGAAATGCCCGTCTGTGGGAAACAGCTAAAGTCAGATACTTAGGACGTGTGCCGCTCAGGTACTGATTTATGCCAAAGCACCTCTTGGGGAGTCCCTCAACTGTTCTGTGCACACCGCTCCTCCAGAGACCCACCGCCCAGTTGCTGACCACGGGGAACAGAGGAGAGACAGGCCAGCAAGGCCGACTGTTTACCCCAGTGCCCCAGAGGGAGAGGACGCTGAGAATATGATAGTTTAGTGCTGAAGAATTGACCTCAGGGCTCATTTTGTACCCGCCCTCCCCCAGAAATGCTGTATTCCTGGCAGGTTTGGAAGCTGGCAGACGCCCACTAAGCATTTGCCCAATCAGATATCTTATTTCGTGGCTTCCTCCCATTGGTCCTTAACTGAGACTTTCCTTTAGTGACCCCATAAACATTGAACTCCCTCAGATTAGTAGAATATATTATTTGGGGGAGAAGCCTCCTTTGCGCCCAAGGGCAGTGGCCACAGCCAACTTCTGTCACTATGGCAGACCCTGAAGGACAGACACGCAGCACGTCTCCCAGAAAACTTCTGACCATTTCCCAAGTGGGATTCCCGCTCAAGGCTCTGGTCACTAGATTGCAGCTGGTGTGTGTACCATTCCCTCACCTCCGCTCACATTGCTCTTGTCATCCTATGAAACATGTACTCCTAACAAGGGTATCGCGCTCCAGATCTTTTTGCCTTTGCTAGGCTTTTGTTTTGGGCTGTCTTTCTAGAAATTGTTAGCATGGTGTGTACACGGTGTTCACCATTCCCACAGGTATACTTGATGCTGTCACAAGACATCCTATTCTGTGATTTGCTTGCCAATTACTTTCCTAGACAGTAGACCTCGCTGCATAGTAGCCATAGTTCTTGACTTTGGGGAAAGAAAAGGAAGCTGCAGGGACATTTAACTCCAGAATGGGATGGGAGAGAACTCCAGCATGTCCAATGGCTACGAATGGAAAACCAACATTATTTCAGATTGTTGTTTGGTAGCTCAATGTGGAATAAAGGACTCTTACTTTATTTTGATTTGCAGTGTGTGTGGTACTCTTTCTCCTAAGATCCAAGGTAGTATTGATGAGAAGTTTTAAAAATTAAGAACATTTTCTTAAAACTTTCCTAGTGAATTAAGAAAATTATGCATTCATATCACCTTTATTCCAGAGAGTTCAAAGGGATTCACTTTGATTAACCTTTGGCTCCTTGAGATAATTGCACTGAACATTTCTTTACCTATTTGACAGTCAAAGCTTCAGTGAGGGTACAGCCTGCTATTTAGAATTTGATTCCCACCCAAAGTGGCTGTTCCCAGTCCTAAATGCACCTTTGGTCCCATATTTCTCCCTACCTGGACTGGGTCATCTTCGAACTGCTCCAAATAGTGCATATTTCTCAAGGCCCAATTCTAGCCCTACTTCTTCCACAAAGCTTTCCTTACACACACACACACACACACACACACACGCACTGGTCTATCTCCTGGATCACCTTTTAAAAACTAATTACATCATAAATTCCTATATCATTATTTACCTTTATGTGTATATATGGCTTGTTTCTAAAGAAGACAGAAGGCTACATCAGAGCTAAACCTGACATTTATCACTCATGAATTCAACAGACATCTAAGAAACACCTACTGTGGGCCTAACACTTTGCCAGGTGTGATCTTGGATTTGGATAAGTGCTGCGAATGTATTACATACTCAAAATACTGCTTGATTGATATAGTTTTCATAAATGACTGAGGGGTGGGCAACAGATTATAGAGCTATCAGATAAGAAGAGCATCCGACCCACCAAGAGTTTCTAAAAAGAAAGGATGAGGCGATGCAGGAAAGAGGGCCGCGGTTTCGTGAAGGCGAGTCGTAGTTCGTGTTTCTAGCCCATTGGGAATTTGGAATAAGATAATGTGTTTTCTAACATATATCAAAGAATCTTAACAGATGGACCATCACAAGATCTGCAGGCCAAATAAGATAACTAGTACTTCTGTGGTAGGGAGAAGTCTAAGGGTGATCCCCATAATCTTCACCCCCAAAATGACAGTGTTACATGACATAAGGGATTTGCAGATGTAATTACTAATCAGTTGACCTTAAAATGGAGAGATCATCCAGGTAGGCTTAATCATCTCATGAGGTCTTTCAAGGCAGAGTATTTCCCCCAGAAAAGGAAGTCACAATCAAACCATGAGAAGATGCGGCTGTTGCTGGCTTGAAGATGGAGAAGTCCAGGTGGGGACGGCCTGGCAGCTTTTCCTAAGAACTGAGAGCAATCCCTGGTTGACAGCCAGCAAGACACAGGGACCTCAGTTCCACAGCTGCAAGGGACTGGGTTCAGCCAACAACCTGAATGAACTTGGAAGCGGATCTCCCCAGAACCTCCAGAGAAGGGCTCCACCCAGGGAACACATTGATTTCAGCCTTGGGAGACCTTCACAGAGAACCCAGATGAGCCCGCCTGGACTCTGACCCACAGAACCGCGAGGTAGTAAACCAGAGTTGTTGTAGGCCACGAAGTTTGTGGCAATTTTTTACATTGCAAGAGAAAATTAGTACAACTACAGAACCCCAAGCCCCAAGGCTCCAACGAGAGCAAGTGCTTACGTTTGAAATATGTGGTGAAGATCAAAGTGATTAGGTACCACAAATCGTGCCTTAACTCTACGGTAACTGTCCCGGGAAGGCGTGGGCTCCGAGGTAAAACAACACGTCCACATCACCCACTGGCAGGCGTTTTTGGAGATGGAGATTGTGAGCTGAGATTCTGACCTGGTTGAGTCTAAAACCCACTATGTTGATATGATTCCTTTCACAGAGAAAACCAAGATTCTGGCAGTTAGGAGTTTGGCCTTAGAATTTTGTAGTCCAACATCCTCATTCATATACAGTCACTTGATTTATGACAGAGGAGTCACATCAGAGCAGCGAGAAAAAAATAAGGACAACTGGATTTCCATAAAGAAAAAACAAAACAAAACAAAATTCAACCCCTCCCTCAAACCATTTTCAAAAATTATTTCCAGGTCTGTTAAAGACCTAAGTGTGGACAATAAACCTATAAAGGTTTTGGAATAGAACATAGGAGAAAAATTTGGAGATATTGAATAAGGAAAGGGTTTCTTAAATACTACACACACACTCACATGTACACACACATACACAAGGCCTTAACCATAAGAGGGTACTTGATATGTTTGATTACATTAAAATTGAGAACTTCTGTTCATCAAAACACATTAAAAGAGTGAGTTCGGCTGGTGTGGCTCAGTGGTTGAGCATCGACCCATGCACCAAGAGGTCACTGGTTCGATTCCCAGTCAGGGCACATGCCTAGGTTGTGGGCCTGATCCCCAGTGGGGGGCATGCAGGAGGCGGCCAATTGATTCTCTCTCTCATTGATATTTCTATTCTCTCTTCCTCTCACTTCCTCTCTCTGTAAAATCAGTAAAGAAAAAAGAAAAAAAATTTTTTTTAGGTGAAAGGGCAAGCCACAGAGTGGAAGAGGGTATTTGCAACATATATGACTGATAAAGAACTAGTTTCTAAATTATATGAAGAATTCCTACAAATCAGTGAGAAAAAGGCAGATGACCCATTTTTTTTCTAAATGAGCAAAAGGCTTGAAAAGACTGTACCAGAGGAGAAATGTAAATGTTCAATAAATATGGAAACGTGCTCAATCTCATTAAATAGGTCAGGGCAATGCATATTAAGACTGCAATGAGATAACACAAAATGCCCATTGGTTTTGCAAAAATTAGGAAGTCTGACAATGTAAATTAATGCAATCACTCTGGGAAACTGTGGTATTGTCTAAAAAGTTGAAGATATGCATACCTAATAACCCGGAAATTCCAGTCCAAGGTATATACCTTAGAGTATGTGTGTTCTAAGGTATATATGCATGTATACAGCAGGGTACACATCTAAGAATATTCTTACCAGCAACCACCATGCCCATCCCATAAAATGAAAGAATAAATAGTGATATATCTGTGCTAGAAAATATCATACATCATGAAAACAAAAGAACTACAAATATACATTCAATATGGATGGATCTTACAAAAACAGGGTAAAAAGCAAATCACAAATATATATATATGTATATATACATCCCCATATATATATATATATGTATATATATATATACAGTATAATTCCATTTATGTAAAGTTCAAAAACAGTCAAAACTAAACACAGAAGATAAACTCCAAACAAAAGTAATTACTCTTAAATTTGGGGGGAAATAGCGGTTGTGTTTGGAAAGGAATAAACAGATGTCTTAGTCTGCTAGGGCTGCCATGACAAACTGCCAGAGACCGGATGGCTTAGACAACAGCAATCTAATTTCTCTCAGTTCTGGAAGCTGGGAAGTCCAAGGTCAAGGTGTCAGCTGGTTTAATTCCCGAGAGAGCTCTTTCTGCCGTGTAGGCAGCTGCCTTCTGCTATGCTCTCACGTGGCCGTGGCTCTGTGCTTGTGCAGAGAGGGTGAGCTCTCGTGTCTCTTTTTATAAGGGTACTGATTCCCTCACAATTAGTGGGCACTGCCTCATGACCTCATCTAACCCTAATTACTTCCCCAAAGCCCTACATCCAAATACCATCACATTGGGGGTTAGGACTTCTAACATATGAGTATCAGAGGTACACACACATTCAGTCCATAGTAAAAGAACTTCTAGGGTGATAGTGATCAATATTATATAACTAGGTAATAGTTACAGGTGTTCCCTTTTGTCAACCATGTATGCACTTTCTGTATGTTCTATATGACATTCAAAAGATCAAATTATAGCCCGGTGTGGCTCAGTTGGTTGGGCGTCATCCTGTGTACCAAAAGGCTGCTGGTTCGATTCCTGGTCAGGGCACATTCCAGGGTTGCAGGCTTGATTCCCAGTAGGAGGCATGCAGGTGGCAACTGATGAATCTTTTGCTCTCACATCGATGTTTCACTCTCTGTGTCCCTCTCCCTTCCTCTCTCTCTAAAATAATCAATAAAAATACATTTTAAAAGATAAAATTATAGATTTGGGTTAACTCAAGAATTTTCTACTTTCTACGTTTATGATCTTTTTAAAGTCTTTCAATCTCTGTGAGCCTTAATTTCCTCATGTGTAAAATGGGGCTAACATCTACGTCATAGGATAGTTGAAAGAAGAGTAATGTGGCTCTTACCCAACGTCCGGCACGGAGTGCAGCCAATGAATAAAGGTTTTAAAACACATTTCTTTCATCCATTTACTTATTCATCCATTCACTCATCATACATTTGCCAAAAGTCTACTATTTGCTAAGTAAATACTGGGCTGAGTTCAGACTGAGGTTGGAAGAGAAATGAGACAGATTTATTTCCTCCCGAAACATATGAGACATGAAGGCCCTCTGCTGGAGCCATGAAGAAAATCTTTCCCAGGTTGGGCCCTTTTTGTTCCCTAAGTAGAAAGGCTGAAAAAAATCATTAGTTCAAAAATATTTTTAACATTATAAAATAATGAGACAATTGGAAATCTGAACATTTGATGATATCAAGCAAGAATTGCTGTTAATTTTTGTTTAGGTGCGATAATGGTCTTGTGAATTTTTTTTTTTTCCCAAGAATACTTACCATTTAGCCCTGGCTGGTTTTGCTCAGTGGTTAGAGCATTGGCCCACAGACCAATGAGTCACGGGTTCGATTCGGTCAAGGGCATGTACCTTGGTTACGGTTCATCCCGGGCCCTGGTCGGGTCCTGCGGGAGGCAACCAGTCGATGTAGCTCTATCACGTTGCTGTTTCTCTTTGTCTCTCTCCCTCTCTCCCACTCTATCTGGTGATAAACAGAAAAGTAATTAAAAAAAAACTTATCATTTAGATACTTGCTAAACTATTGCCAGATGAGATGATATATCTGGTATAGCAGTCAGGGTTTAACCAGAGAAATAGAACCAGTAGGAGATATATGTGAAGAGATTGTTTTTGCAAGAAATTCCCTATGTGATTGTAGGGGCTGACCAGGCAAGTCTGAAATCCACAGGCTGGAAGGCAGGTTAGAACTTGAGGCTTGGGCTATAGTTACCGTCCACAGGTGGAATTTGTTCTTTCTCAGGGAAGCATTGGTTGGCTCTGCTCTTAAGGTCTTTCAGCTGATTTAGTCAGGCTCACTAAGGTTACCTAGGATGATTTTCCTTACTTAAAAACAATTGATTATCGGCTTTAATCACGCTACAAAATACCTTTATAACATCACCTAAATTAATGAATAACTGAAGATTGTAGCCTAGCTACATTGACACATAGAATTGACCATCACATCTTTGAATTGATTCAAAATGACTTGGAAAGGGGATGTGGATGGGACAGGACTAGCCCTTCCTCCTGGGGACTGGATGAGCCGTTTGGGTGTCCCAAGCTCTGCATGTGCTTGGTCTGGTGATTTGGTTTCTGATGTCACTAGCTACTAATGACTATCTTGCTCATCTCTGGGCGACTGTGACCTCGCAAGGTGGACGAGGCTTACTTAGAGAGTTACCTTGCCATTATCATAGAGCTTCAAAGAAATCTGAAAACTGCCTGGTGCTGCTTGGGAAGGGGTCTCCAGATGCTTCTTCAAGGATGTACTGGCATTGTCCTTGGAGAATGAGGAGCACATGCTAGGAAGTGATAGCCCAGCTGCATGAAATGCCACGACACCTGTAGCTATAGCGGGATAGGGGTGAGGGTGGGGTGAGATTGTTGTGTGGGGTCTTGAATGCCAAGCTAGGGAGTTTGGACTTTATTCTGTAGAACAGGGGATTAAAATGAAAATTTTGAGGCCTGACTGGTGTGGCTCAGTTGGTTGGAGCATCATCCATTGCATCAAAAATGTTGCTGGTTGGATCTCCCAGTCAGGGCACATACCTGGGTTGCAGGTTTGATCCCCATATGGAAGGCAACCGATCTGTGTTTCTCTCACATTAATGTCCCCCCCACCCAACATGTCCTCAGGTGAGTATTAAAAATAGAAAGAACATTTGGAGGACTTTAAATAGGGGTGACTTGATCAGATGATGAAAATCATTCTGTAACTGTGGAGAATCTGAAAGTGTTTGCCAAAGTGTGTTCAGTGAACCACTGGGGAGCATTTTATTGAAATGCAGATTCTTGCCCCTCCTCAGACCTGCAAATCAGATTTTCTGGAGGTAGAGTCAGGAAACTACATTTTAAGTTGTTGTTTTTTTAAAGTCCACATATATTTGGGGGAACGAAATGCACCAGTCCTAAAGGTAGAGCTTTTGAATTTTCACAGCTAAACACACTCAGGTAACCAACACCCATATGAAACAGAACACCATCAGTTCAGAAGTCTCTCTTCACCTCCAGCTGCTGCTGCCTACACCACAGGTAAACACATTCATTACCTCTCACACCCACAGATTAGTTTGCCTGTTTTGAACTTTACACAAATGAAATCACACAGCATATACTTTGTGTCTGACTTATTTCACTGTTAATGTATGAATGCATCCATGTTTTGTATAGATGGGGTTGACTCTATTATAAAGACTTCCACAATTTATCCATTCTTGATTATGGGCTTTGAGTAGTTTTTAATTTGGGGCTCCTACCACAAATATACTGCTATGAATGTTCTTATTCATGTCTTTTGCTTTGTAAATTATAAAGCAGGATACCAAGGCCTAAAGACTAATTCACTCACTATCCACTCATTGAGCCCCTTGGGAAGCATTGTGCTAAGAAAAGAAGATGGCGAAGGTCCTGCCCTCATAGAACTTACTCCAGTAAAGGTAAAACTATAACCTAAGTGGACAGAAAAATGAGTCAAACAATTGTGATAATAATTCTAAGGACAACAAAAAGCTGATCTAGTAAAAGGACAACAGAACTTCTCTACTTTTTTTATGCGGCAATCACGCAATGAGTATGAACAGAGGGAAGAGCTTTCTTGGCAGGAAGGATACCATGTACAAGTCATGGAGCATGAGAGTGCTTGTCCTATTCAAGAAAACCAGTGTGGCTGGAGCACAGTGGAAGGGAACAAGGGATGGCATAAGGTGTGTTTGGATAGAGGGACATATGATGCAGGACCTTACAGGCCAGAATAAGCAGTTTCGATTTTATTCTGAACACTGTAGAAAGCCACTTAAATGTTTTAAACAGAAAGATGTGATTTGATTTATGTATTTATTTTTAATTTTTTATCGATTTTTAGAGAAAGCGGAAGGGAGAGGTAGAGAAACATCGATGAGAGTGAAACAGATTGGCTGCCTCCTGCATGCCCCCTACCAGGGATCGAGCTGGCAACCCAGGCATGTGCCTGGACCAGGAATCAAACCGGCAACACTTCTGTGCACCGGCAGACACCCAACCAACTGAGGCACACCGGCCAGGGCATGCTTTATTTTTTAAAACAATCCTTCTGACTGATGCTCAGAGATTAGATTAAATGGATCAATGAAAATGTAGGTCACTTAGGAGGCTGCTCTGAACAGTCCCAGGAATATATGCTGGCATAGAGTTTACAGGAAAAGACTGCAACAGACTTGGGCATTGTCAGCAAAATAATCACCATCTTAAGCAAGTCATGAGAGGTAACACTGCCATATTGGGACAAGGGGATATCCTGTATGTGTCCTGCTATGATGCAGCAAGGGCAAAGCATTTCTACCAAAAATGCATAATCTGAATGTAATCATGAGGAAAACGACAATAAATCCATACTGAGAGACATTCTGCACAAAACTAGCCTGTATTTCAAAATGTCAGTATTATGAAAGACAAAAGCTTAGTAGCTCTCACAGGTTAAAACATACACAAACACTCGACATAACTAAATGCAATTTCTAATCCTCCATTAGATTGTGGACCAGGAAAAAAATTTTTTTCATTTACTCGAAAAACTGTAAATGGGACAATTGATAACATTTAAATGACTGCAAATTAAATAACAGGCCATTAGTATTAATTTCCTGATTTTGATCATTGTACTGATTATGTAAGATAATGTTCTTGTTTTTAGGAAGTAACATTTAATAGTGTAGCGTTAAAAGAAACGTCTGCAATTTCCTCTCTAATGGTTCTGGAGAAAATGACAGGATGATGCACATAAAATGTTAACATTTGGAGAATCTAAGAGAAGTGGTTATGGGAATAAAGTGTATTACTTTTGCAACTTTTCTGTAAGTTTGAATTACTTTAAAATAAAACGTTAATTACTGGGGTCACTAAGAGAAAGAAGAAAAGATCTAGCACTAAGCCATGAGTAACGTTTGGACAAGTATCAGGAGAGGGGTGAGCAGTGGAAAGATGGAAGGATGTTAACGTGGGCAGAGTTCCGCTGGAGCCATAGCTTCCGTGCTCGTCTTCACTGTGAAGCACTAGGGGCAGACCTTCCCTTCCTGCAACTCGAGCGCCGGATCACCGAAGGGAATCTCCTTGCTCGAATTGGCGAAAAGGGGGCCCTGCTCAGGCCGGCTCCGCCATGTTTTCCCAGTGCGCGTGCGTAGGGGTACCCTGCGCAGGCGCGCCCCAATCCCAACCAATCGGTGCTCACGTCGACATCCCGTTCAGCGCAGGGGCGGGGCGGCCTTCTACACATGCGCACGCTCGGGTGGGCCTTCTTCCTTCTCGCCGAACGCCGCCGACATGGTGAGTGTCCCTGTCGCGGGCTCCGGGTCTGGCGGCCTTGCAGCTCCACCACCGCCCAAGCCGGGGTGCGAAACGGCTCCCAGCGGGCCTTACATAGCGCGTGGTGAGGGTCCCCAGGCGGGTGGAGCACGGAGTTGGGGAGCTTCCCGCAGGCACGGTCCCTGAGCGCGTGGAGGGCCCGGCGTGCCTGGGCCACGCGTGCGCGCCACCGCCGCCAAAGCTGGAGGCCGGGACGGCCGGTGGCCTGGCCGGGCCTGTGCAGCCAAGTCGGGCTGGGGCTGGCGGGTCGGAGCATGGAGGCCCCGTTGGAGGCCGGCGAGACTCCGGCTTTTGCCGCCGCTGCCGCTTCTGCGGATTTCGTCCACCCGGGTCCACTTAGGCGTGTCTCCTGAACGTTCTTTTTCGCTGTGCTGAGCCACGTTGCCTTATAAATAATGGAGAATTTCTGATCGTTTCGCTGTTCTCCCCATCTCTTCCCTCGCCCGTTTTAGGTGTTCAGGCGCTTCGTGGAGGTTGGCCGGGTGGCCTACGTCTCCTTCGGGCCTCATGCCGGGAAGCTGGTCGCGATCGTAGATGTGATCGATCAGAACAGGGTAAGTGTAAGGAGAGTGTCACAGCCTCACAGGGCAGTGGATGGCATGCAGTGTAGGTGGGGGTGATGGCTTCATTTTACCCATGAGGAAAACAAGTATGGTTTCAGGCACAGGCTTGAGTTATCCAGTACTACTGGGTTTGAGCATTACCTCTGCCATTTAAACTAGCCAGAGCTTTTAACTAATTATGAGGAAGACATTCGTGAAGTTTAAATGAGTTACCATTATATAAATCGAATTGAGCACATAGAAAACCCTTATTTCCTCTTGTCATTACAGTATATGAGAACCGCAAACTAAGGAACTGACCAAAAGCTTTGAATGAATGTTACATTGTTTGTTGAGAATGTTAAGGATTGAAGACTTAAAATTGTCAAGTAAATTATATGTAATTGGGTTATTTGCTGTACTACTACTACTAAACATTTAAAAACATTTAAAATGATCTTGAAAGGACATGTTATACAGATTCTCCCTTTTGAACGCTATTAGGTTTTGCACTGAGATCTTGATCTTATTTGTGTGTTCTAGGCTTTGGTCGATGGACCTTGCACTCAAGTAAGGAGACAGGCTATGCCTTTCAAATGCATGCAGCTCACTGACTTCATCCTCAAGTTCCCACACAGGTAAACTCTCCACCAACCACAGCCTCCCAGCTTTGTTTATCTAGGAAAGGTTTTCTTAGTGTAATTCAAAATTTCCTTTTTTTATTGGTTTCCTCTTGAGAATATAGTAAACAATGTTAAAGAATGAGAGCAATTCAGTAGAGGAATTTCCAGTGTTATAGACAGGCACTGTTTCCTTTTTAAATGTGCCGTGATCTGGTGGTTCTCTGGCTTTGCCTTTATCCAGATTTGCCATCCTCTTTTGTTTGTACCTCTTCTTTCAGGATTTATACAACCAAGACCTTAAGAAATTCTGGTTTCCTGTTCATATTTTAGTCACTTTTAGCTTCAAAACAAAAATACTCTTGTCTCTCTTCCAATACTCTAGCTGTCCTTAGGCAAGCATTTCATATGTGTCAGTTAGAAGTATTTAATGTATATCATCTCGTGACAGCCACCGAAGTACTTCTGTTCCCAGCTACTCATACGGAATTGAGACAGTCAGTAATCCTTGACATGATGTACAGTAAGGAGGGTAACTGCTATACAGTTATCAGTTGGTTGCAGTGGGACATGTGCTGTAACTACTAGCTTGTTTGTTGTTAATCTTCACCTGAGGATATTTTTCCATTGATTTTTTTTTTTTTTTAAGAGAGAGAGTGGGTGAGAGGGAAAGACAAAGAGAGAGAAACATCCATGTGAGAGAGAGACATCAATTTGGTTGCCTCCCACACAACCAACCAGGGCTGGGGATCAGACCCACATCCTTTTGGTCCATGGCTGAAGCTGTATAACTGCTGAGCCAAACCAGCCAGGGCAGTACTAGTTTATTTTTTTAAGTCTGCTGGGTTTTAATACTCAAAATATTTGGGAGAAATTTTAAGATAATTATGGTTGAACACTGATATTTGACCTCAAACTTTTTAAAACAGTTTTGTACAAAAAAAAAAAAAAAAACACTAAGGATTAACTTTACCACATTCTTTACAAAAGGGCATTGCTTTCTACATGTCTACTCTGGAGTGGTAGTCTAGACATGATAAGAGCTAATTTTTAAATCCTGAACATGGGCTGGTTTGCATTTTTTATTGTGTGTTTGAGGTCATAAGACTTCTTGGCTTAGTGAGCACCATTGAAATAAATAAAAGACGTGGTGTGCCAGATAGTATGTGTTCTCTAAAGTCATCTAGAGCTAGAAGTAGAACAAATGGGAAGGGTACTTCTGGCATCATTTTGCTTATGCTTTTTAACTTGAGGGGGGTATCAACTCTGTTTTTCAGAGGATGCAAAGCTGTCCTTGGGTCTGTGTGACTTCAAAGTTGATTTCTTAATCTCTTATCTTGGCTCTTTCTAGTGCCCGCCAGAAGTATGTTCGACAAGCCTGGCAGAAGGCAGATATCAATACAAAATGGGCAGCCACGAGATGGGCCAAGAAGATTGAAGCCAGAGAAAAGGTAATGAAGTAACAGTCATTTGAATTCTGACTTCTTTTTTGGAGGGTTACATGATGATATGAGAGATGTATATATATATATTTTTTTTACAGAAAGCCAAGATGACAGATTTTGATCGTTACAAAGTCATGAAGGCAAAGAAAATGGTAAATTTTTAAATTGTTACAGTATTGTTATGTTTTAACCCTAAACTTGTTTGGTAATTCTGTTTTCCCAAGCTCAGTAGACCAGCGTTGACTTCATGGGGGTCTAAGACATAAGGGTTGTCTCTTAAAGATTATATATGTATATGACAGAATAATTTTTTGTATGCATGCATGGTAAATACTTACATTGAAATTTTTCAGAGGAACCGAATAATCAAGCTTGAAGTTAGGAAGCTTCAAAAGGCAGCTCTCCTGAAAGCATCTCCCAAAAAAGCACCTTCTACTAAAGGTGCAGCTGCTGCTGCTGCTGCTGCAAAGGTTCCAGCAAAAAAAGTGAGCACTGCAGGCAAGAAGGCTCCGGCCCAGAAGGTTCCTGCCCAGAAAGCTGCAGGCCAGAAGGCAGCGCCTCCAAAAGCTCCGAAGGGTCCGAAAGCTCCAGCCCAGAAAGCACCTGCTCCCAAGGCATCTGGCAAGAAAGCATGAGAGCATAGAGGTCATTATAAAAGTAATAAAGGTTCTTTTTAACACGCTGGCAAATCTGCTTAATTGTGGATTCAAGTCTTGCTGGGGAACGGGTCGTGAAGTATATAGATAGTAGGATTGTTGATGTTTTGTTGGAAAATCAGTTCCTTTGTCTCATTCTGCCCAGTTTCAGATGGTATAAGTCATCACACCAAGTGGTAATTAGTTAATGTTCTCATGGGAAATCATGATCATTAGAACACCAGGTGATATTTTATTTCCTTGTAAGGGGAAGGGCAGTATGAACCTCTTGGGAATGGCAACTGAAGAGAACAGAATAGGAAGCACAGTAGGTCTTACTCTTAGAGCTGTGGGGAAATTCAGGAAGCCATTGAGCAGTTTTGAATGGAATGATACACAGGTGTAGGCATTGTGCTGTTGGATTGACTCTTAGGGGAACAAGACTGGCAACGGGAAGGTAAGGGGTATCATGCTTAGCAGTGTTCCTCACCTTGACTGGTCTACACCAGTGCTTTTCACTTGGTGTGCTGCAAGAATTTTTAAAACAAGGGATACCTGACTAGTCAGGGGCACTGACCTCTTCTCCCTTAGGTTGTCAAATAAAAAATGACTATAGCCAACACAACAAGAACCATCTGGTGTGAATAAGTCAAAATTATACCTTTTTTTTTTTTTTTGTCAGATGGGCAAAAATATTTTTCGGTGCACTGAAGAATTTAGTAATTCGTTTATGTGTGCAGTGAGATCAAAGGCTGAGAATTGCTGGGTCTAAGCCAGTTAAGTGGCAGTGGTGCCGATTAATAGGCCTAAATACTGGTTTCTTGGTTCTGCTGCCCACCCAGCTCTTGGAGTCATGTTTTGGTTTTCACTTCATCCTCTAGTGTCTCTTCCAGTTAGGCTGCATGCGTGATAGACTTTGCTTACTTGTGTGAAAGTATTATTTTGCCCTTAACATAAACTATTTTTTACAGCATTTCTGATAATAAATGTATGGGTTTTTTTCCCCCCACACCAACCAATTCAGTTCTGACACCTGACTACCAAGAGTTAGCATCAGACCCCCTAGGCTTAGAGGTCTGCCCCAACTTCAGCTGCCAGTCACGAGTTCCAGGCCTTCTGTACTTCTGACTGAACAGCTATAGGTTGGACTACCTCCTGAGGCTTGATAATTTGTTAGAACTCTGGAAAACACTTGACAGTTACCAGTTTATTACAAAGGCTAAAAGTCAGGAACCACCAAGTGGAAGAGATGCACAGTAGGCCATGGTGTTAGGGAAAGGCTAGGAAGCTTATAGGGCCTCTCCAGCTTGCCACCCTCATTCACCTCAATGTGTTCACCAACCTATGTGGTCTCTGAAGACCCTACGCCTTCAGTGGTTTTTTGGAGGCTTATGTAAGCACAATTGATTAAGTCACTGACCATTGGTGATTAGCTGAATCTCTGGCCCCTCAATGTGGGGGTGGGGAATGGAAGTTCAAGTCACATGGTTCCAATTCCACAGTTGGAAGTTTTTAGAAACCTTGTATCAGGAGTTGGGGATAAAGACCAAATACATATTTATCGCAATATTGTGCCTTGAATCCAAGTGATAGATTAGCTCTCAATATAAGTTCTAGATTCAAAATTATTTTTCTTGAGAACTTTGAAGGACATCATCTAGGGCCCTTGCTTTTATTTTGCACCTAGGTACTATTGGGAAATGCAGGGGCAGGAACCAGAATTTGTTGAGTTATTTCAGCCAGCCAAGTCATTCTCTGTAAACCAGAGAAACAGGAAGGGGGAGGAAAGGATGAGATTTGTCTGGAACGTGAGTTTTAGAAACTTGTGGGATAGCCAAGCAGAAATAAACAGGTCGGTTGATAAACAGCTGTTTAACTCAAAGCTATCTGCACAATTCCTGTCCAGCAGGAAGCACTGTTGCCATGATGATTACATCCGGACTGGAGAAAGATATGAAGTGTGTTATAGGAAAGACGATATACACAGAAATATAGTCGTGCGGTGTAACGATGTCTGGGTCAGTGACAGACTGCATATGTGACTGGTCCCATAAGAATATAACAGCTGAAAAACTCCTATCCCACAGTGACATAGCTGTCCTAACATTGTAGTGGACTGCATAATGTGTTTGTGGTGATGCTGGTGTAAACTGCCAATCATGTGAAAATGTACATGTAATTGTGTACAGTACATGATACTTGATGATAAGCAACTGTTACTGTTTATGTATTTACTGTTATTTTACAGTACTCTTTCTACTCAAAATAGTGTTTGCTGTAAAACAGTATTTCGCGTTACCTGGGCAGCAGCCTCATACATCTTGTGTGTGCTGCTTCTCTTTTTTTTTTTTTTTATCCTCACCCGAGGACATTTTTCCATTTTTTGTTCAGGTAGAGTGGGAGGGAGAGAGAGGAACAGAGAGAGAGAGAGAAACATCGATGTGAAAGGAACACATCGAGTGGCTGCCACCCGCACGACCGACCAGGGCCGGGGACAAACTGCAACCGAGGTACATGCCCCTAGCGGGAACCGAACCCGGGTCTCTCAGGACCGCAGGCCGACGCTTTAACCGCTGAGCCAAACCAGCCAGGGCTGCTTCTCTTGATTGTATCATTTTCTCTTGTGCTTGCTTTAACCTCATGCTTTATAAATTTAGTGTAGCCTGAGTATACAGTGTTTGTAGTGTACAGTAGTGTTACATAATGCCCTAGGCCTTCATACTCACTCACCACTCCCTGACACCCAGAGCAATTTCTAGTCTGCAAGCTCCATTCATGCTAAGTGCCTTGTACAAGTGTACATTCTTCATCTTTTATACTTGATTTTTACTGTATCATTTCTATGCTAAGGTTTGTTTTTATATACAAACACCATTGTTACAACTGCCTACAGTGTTGAGCACAGTAACCGTGCTGGGCAGGCTGGTAGCTTCAGCAGTAGGCTCTAGCATGTCGCCTGGGTGTGCAGTAGGCTACATCTAGGTTTGATGTCACAACTAGGGGATTACCTACTAATGCATTTCTCACAATGTACCCCATCATTAAGTGCACTTGACTGCAATAGAAATGTCTGCAACAACAGAACTAGCACTTATTTTGATTCAGTACAGAACCAGAGGTTGTTAAAAGTGCTCTATATGCCCTGGCTGGTTTTGCTCAGCGGTTAGAGCATTGGCCTGCGGTACAGAGAGGCCTGGTTCGGTTCCTGCTGAAAGCACGTACCTCGGTTGCAGTTTGTTCCCGGCCCTGGTTGGGTTGTGGCGGAGGCAGCCACTCGTGTCCCTTTCACGTCAACATTTCTCTCTTCCTCTCTTCCCACTCTGAACAAAAATGAAAACATGTCCTCGGGTGAGGATTAAAAAAAAAATGCTTTACATGAATTGACTTAGTTAATACTCCATCTATGAGTTTGAAACTATAACCATTCTCAACTCAGAAACTGAGGCAGAGTTAAGTAACTTTCACAAGGCCATACAGTGAATAAATGGTGGAGTCAGGATTTGAACCCAGTCAGACCCCAGACTTAATGATCTTAGGTCCCAGTCCAGTCAGCCAACAAGCAGGAGACGGGGGCTATAACTTCATTAGAAGGTTAAGTTACTGCTAGTGATTGTCAGAACCAGAACATCACAAGTATGGAATCTCCTTGAGGGAGAAGGATCGTCAGCTTGAAGTGATAAGCGCTAGAGGAAAGACTAAGCAAGTGCCTAAGTTGTCCTGGCGTTGGAGGGGACGAAGGGGGGTGGTCTGGTTTGGGGGAACCATGGAGAAGGCCCAGCCTCCGGGCTTCCTAGAGAGAGAAAGAGAGAGAGAGAGAGAGAGAGGCGCTAAGAGCGTCCGCTGCCTGTGCTTCCGCCTTGGCTGTTTCACCCGGCTACACCATCTCCGCATGAGCGGCCCGGGATTCCCTGACCCGGTTCCCCCAGGGTGGCCCTCCCGTCCTGGAGCTCGGGCATCGGGCCGCAGACGCCGCCAGGGGGCCCGCGCGGTGCCGGAGCCCGGGCCCAGCCTTCTGCCAGCAGAGGCGAGATTGACTTTCCTGCCACGAAGCTGCCAAGAGCTGGTCTGACATCCTCCGGCTTGCGGTTCTCAGGGTGGGGGCAGAGACGTTGTGGGTCACCTGCTTTCAAGGGTGGAGTATTTTGATCCCCGTCTATCCCCGTCCAGTCTCCGTCAGCCTCGTCCATTGGATGTTGAGCATCTTACCCTTTCCCCAATCCCCCTACCTCCATCCCCCAACCTGGGGCCAGAACACCACTTGCAGTTTGTCCTGCAGCCGGTGGTTGATCCAGGGGCACCCGTTGCCTTACTTTCTGTCCAGAAGCTCAGCCAGGTCTTTGTGTGATTACTAGAAGCATTCAGTGCGAGCACTTGGTAACACAGTCACAGTGGGTCAGGGATTTTCTTAAAAGCCATGAATCCACTGCAGTCCTTGACTCTGGAATTTCCAGCCTCACCCGGCAAATTAGTAGAGTGTGCAAAAGAGAACAGTTGCAGCACCCATGGACCACCAGAAAGGGTGCTTTGAACATTCGAACTGTCCAAAGAATGTTTCCAATGACTGAGGGAGAAAACACAGCAAGTGCGGAAAACAAGACAGGGCCAGTCTCATTGTGGTTCTTTCTCAGCTCTGCAGGTTCTTGCTTTTTCCAAACAGAGAGGGCAGTGCATGAAGCCAAGGGTCATCAGCCATGCTCCAGACAGTGTGGTTCCAGGTGAGCGGAGCTTTCCATATTCCAAACAGACATGAGAGGTCACTGGGATCAGTGGACTGACTTGACCAGTCCCCTGCTTAGCTTGGCATCCATCAATAGAGTGTGGCAAAGGAGTATGTTGGGGCAGTTGATGAGGGAGAGTAGGTAAACTTGGGAGGATCAAATTGGTTGGGAAAGAGAAGCACTGGCCAAAATATTCGAGAAAGTAAGACACTACATCTGTGCCCACTGTAAGTACTGTGCACAGATGAGCAGCTTTGGCCTCACCACTGGGCTAGTTACAAAGGCTGAACCTCAGGCCCCACCCCAGATCTCAGGAATCTACGTCTGTCCA